CTCTCCATCCGATCCCTCTGGGTCTTACCAGTGCACCAGGCCCGAGCACTTGCCTCATGCACCCAACCTGGGCTGGTGATCTATTTCACCCTAGATAATATACATGTTTCAATGCTGTTCTCTTGAAACAATCCACCGTCGCCTGATGTTGAGCATCTTTTCATGTGTTTCTAACAAACACATGAAAAGATGCTCAACATCACTCATTATCAGAGAAATGCAAATCAAAACCACAATGAGGTACCATTATACGCCAGTCAGGATGGCTGATATCCAAAAGTCTACAAGCAATAAATGCTGGAGAGGGTGTGGAGAAAAGGGAACATCTTTCTAAAATTATCAAACCATCCTTCACTGTTAAATTCTACAGCTTTAGATCCTTTACCTTCCTTTGGCTTTCCGTTGTCATATAATAACTTCACTTTTTTCCGAAACATATTAGTCTGTAGATATGCCTGCACCTGCATAAAAGCAGCATTTTCAATACAGGATAAAAAGATATTTTGCAAAAAGTGCAAAGTTTTCTTGCTTGCTAATGTAGATGCAATTATGACTTCATGGATTTCCTTTTGGGGGTTTTGTTGTTGCTTTGTTTGTTTGTTTGTTTGTTTTTATAATGGTCCTTATGCTGGATTTGTTTATCTTGAAATGACAGGCAACAGAAGCTGCAGGCCTCCATCTAGGGTACACATCCAGCAATTAAACTTCCTCTTGTAATACCGTCATGACTTTTCTCTGCTTCTTGGGAGCATTTCCAACCTCACTAGAAGCACTTCGTATGGGTCCCATGGTGTTAGTCAAGGTTTATGGTATAGAACTAAACATGATGAAAACCACACAAGAACTGAGAAAGATCACTTTCTACTGTGATGCACAATTTACTGGAGAGAGAACCTGCACATACAGAGATGATTAGCATCACGTGGCATTTTACACAGACCCTCACAACACCTAAGCTCACCTAAACAGCTCTACAGTAGTGCAGTGTGGACTGCAGCTAATTTTACAATTATGATTGAATACTGCATCGTTACTTTTTTTTACATTTTTTTTTTACATTTCTCTTGACTATGAATGGTGCCAAGTATGGTCTTATGTGTTTTAATGCATAAGTTTTGATAAATTTTAAGTTTTCATAATAAATTTCTATGTATTTTATGACTATAAATTATAAAATAGGCTAGTATATACATATATTTTATGTATCATGACATATCTACTTTTTCTTCATGTTTTTTATATTTCTAGACTACATGGTTTATCGTAAGTTTTTCAAACCAGTGCAAATCTCCAAAATTTTGTCCAATATATTTACTGAAAAAGATCTACCATCAGTGGACCCGTACAGTTTAAACATGTGTTGCTCAAGAATCAGCTGGAGATTTTTTGATGTTATTCTCAGCTGGGTTTTCAGGAATCAGGTTCACATCCACATAAGTCTTCATTTTATTCCTTCAAACATTACTGAACATCTATTATTCACAGAAACTGTACTAAGTGAACTGACCACAAAAAGCAGTGTGCCTATACATGGCCAGGTAGCTAAATAACATACAGTGTGATAATGCTTGAACAGAGTCAAGCAGAATGCAAATGACAGAGAAATCAATCCTGATTGGCAGGTGGTAGAGAGGTATAAGAGATGAAATACTACAGAAGGGAAACATGAATAGTAATAGGCATTTGTTTACTGCCTAGGCTTCCTTAGTGGCTCAGTGGTGAAGAATCTGCCTGCCAATGCAGGAGACATGGGTTCGATTCTTGCATCTGAAAGATCCTCTGGAGAAAGAAATGGGACCCCCGGCCCAGTATTCTTGCCTGGCAAATCCCATGGATGGAGGAACCTGGCAGGCTACGGTTGCTGGGGTCACAAAAAAGTTGGACATGACTTAGCAACTAAACAACAACAGCAACAACATTTACTGTCTACTGTGTTTCTGACACTTCAAACAGTACTTTAAGTATACTTTTATTTAATCCTCAAAAGAATTCTCCGAGGTAGGTACTATAATTATTCCCATTTGCCAGATGAGAAAACAAGGTACATAGAAATTAAATAACTTTCCCAAAGTATAAACAATGGCATGGAGATGGGACAATGCATAAAACAGTTAGGAAGAGGAAGTCACTCAGTGCAGCACTTGTTTTAGTGTTTGAGATCAAGTATGTCCAGATTAGGAAAAATATCCTAAGAAGTTTGGACATAATGCTGTGTAGGCAAAGGAATTCATCATAAATCTCTGAAAGAAGCATTGGTAGGGAACTAGGGCACATGGTCATGTTTTTGCAGCAATGTGCTATAGTAACAAATTTGCAGACTCTTCTTTCGTATAGAATAATGCTAAATCAAATATAAATTCACATTGAAGGAACATGACTCTTGAAGCATAATGTTTCCTCTGTTATACATGAATGTAATTTGCCTGCACAAATTAACTCATGTGTAAGTGGGTTCGAACCTCATTATCCAAAAGTAATGTAATTGAGAATAGCATTGTTTTAAAGCAAAAGACAAAAGTTCCCATTTTATGTGTTTATTGATCACCATAGGCCTTGAGCATTATACATTCAAATTTCTATTTAAACCTGCTAAAATAGTATATGTTAATAACATCTTAGTTTGCAAACATGCATGAATAATGTCTGATATAACACCAGGAATAAAAAAATTCTAGCACAGAGCACAGCATTTCCAAATGCTATCATATATTCAACACCAGGAGAAAATCATCTTCCACTTAAATAGTGCATACCTTTAACAAAATTATATTTAAAAAATTTTTTTCTGTTGCGATGGTTTTCCTTTAAAAAAAAACAAACAAACAAAATTAGAAGCCTTAGTTTTTAGTTGAGCTTCCAAATTCAACCTTCACCACCTTCTCCATTTAGAGCATTGACCACTAGGGGGCAGAAATGACCCAATCATTTAGTTTATTTCTGTTTGTTTTCAGATTTTGAATCTGAGATGTATGCTCCTAAAGTCAAAGGTGTATTTTCTTAAAAACTGCATATCAAACAAACAAACAAAAAGAAAGAAAGAAAAAAAACAATTCAATTTTAAGTCTCTTTCATTTTTTATTAGTTACCAAGTCCAAATCTTTTGTTTTCAACTACAATAAAATTAAATTTACAATAGAGAAACCACTGCACTGATGTAAAGTAATTAGCCTCCAACTAATTAAAAAAAAAATTTACAATAGAGAGATTGATAGTTGATTATTGGTTTGTTTGATAGTTGATTACTGGTTTGTTGTAGTATAAGACTAGCACTGTCCTTCAGTACCTGGGTTTATGTTTCTAAGTGCCTACACTAATGATTAATGTAGTTATGAATATTACCTAATTCACATATATTATTAATTACATGTATACATATTATACATTATACATATTAATGTAGTTACATATATTATCTAATTATGTATATACATATATTATCTAATGATTTAGTTATGTATATTACCTAATTTAGTGCTTATGACATGTCTATGAATAAAGTGTTAGCATCCTCATCTGTAAAATGGGGAAATTAAAGATTTTTTTAAAAGATTGCAAATTATGCAGCATAATAGGGATTTAGACCCAGTTCTGCAAAATTCCAAAAGTTTTCTATGATACGAATTTTTTTTTGTGTTAGTATGGAATATACAATACATGCAGGAAAGTACATAAAATACAAATATTAGTGTCCTTTGTTTTGATCAGAATGGTGGTACACCACCATTCTGATCAAAACAAAGGACACTTTTAGCTCCTGCAGAGGCACCAGGTGCTACTTACTCTTCACAAACCCCCTCCACCTTGGGAGGTAAAGAAATAAAAGAGTCTACCCGATTTTCTATGTTCTTGCCTGTAGAGACCAGCTCGACAAGCAGGGTTTCCGAAAGTGTGACATGGCGAGAGAATGAGAAACGAGACACAAGAATTTGGATAAAAGCGAGGATCAGGGGACCAACACCGCTCCAAGGTGAAGGTGCCGAAAAGGAATCCAAGCCAACTTTATTATACTTTCAGCTGTGAATGAAAGAATATGCGGGGAGTTAAGCTATAACTCATGTGGCCTTCAGGCCAAAGAACAAAAAGATCATTAACCATTGATTAAAAGATCTGTCTAATCAAGGCTATGGTTTTTCCAGTGGTCATGTATGGATGTGAGAGTTGGACTGTGAAGAAAGCTGAGCGCTAAAAAATTGATGCTTTTGAACTGTGATGTTCGAGAAGACTCTTGAGAGTCCCTTGGACTGCAAGGGGATCCAACCAGTCCATCCTAAAGGAGATCAGGCCTGGGTGTTCATTGGAAGGACTGATGCTGAAGTTGAAACTCCAATACTTTGGCCACCTCATGCGAAGAGTTGACTCATTGGAAAAGATCCTGATGCTGGGAGGTATTAGGGGCAGGAGGAGAAGGGGACGACAGAGGATGAGATGGCTGGATGGCATCACCGACTCGATGGAACTGAGTTTGAGTAAACTCCAGGAGTTGGTGATGGACAGGGAGGCCTGGCGTGCTGCGATTCATAGGGTCACCAGGAGTCAGACACAACTGAGCGACTAAACTGAACTGAACTGAACTGAATTAAGAAACAGTAATCAATAACAAATCAGTAACTAAGACTAATATTCTTATCTATAGATTTTTCACTGGATACGTAAAACATGTGACTCTGAGACACCAGTTGAGAAATAGTTTGGGGTCAGTTTTCCAACTCCAGGATCATACCTTGTTTTCAAGATTATGAATTGTTCCCTCTGGACTTGTTTCAAAGGTTTATTTGTTCCAAATATTTCCTTCTTTTTATTGCTGAATAGTATTCAACTGTGTGGATATACCACATCTTTTTACTTATTCACCAGTCAATAGGTTTTTGGATTGTTTCCAATGAAGTTGAAGATATGTAGACAAACCCGATGAGCTAGCAATTTCTCAGTTATACATCTTAGGGGCAATTTTTATATGCACCTCAAAAGTTGTGTATAAGAATCTTTGTAGTAGCATTATCCATTATCGTCCCAAATTGGTGATAATCCCCAGGCCTATGAATAGTTTTAATAGAATAGATAATAAATTGCAGTATATTACATAGAGCCCCTCTCTACCTTGAAATGTAATCACCATCTTCATTTTTATGACTATCATCATTTCTAAGATCATCATTTCCTTTGTTTTACTTAGCACTTCTGTGAGATTTATATAAATCTATTCATCATGTATAGATTCATTCATATCTTTCTCCTTTTGGTCAATAGTATCTTTTTAATATTTATTGATACTGTTGTATATAGTTATAGCTCTTTAATTTTCATTACTACATGAAATGAAATCTCTATGTAATATTAATTTGCTACATCCTTGAAGAAGTGTTCAGATATTCAAACAAAAATGGCTTTAAGTTAAAGAATACATTAACAGAGACCCAAAGAGAATCAAGCACTTTAGAAATAACATAAGAAGGCAAAAATTAAGACAACATGGGTGAAGGTCAGAAGATGTTGACAAGTCATGTTAAAATAATCTTTTCCAAAATCACACACACACACGTATGGACACACTCAAGTTAGACTTCAGTTTTACAAGAAGAAACTTGAATTTTTCACAGATACAGAACATAATTTTTAAAGAAATTATTAGTCTTTTGTACAATTAGTGACTTAAATTGTGCTGTTCCTCTTTATAGGTATTATGATTTTGTATGTGTAATTTCATTCTAGACTTAAATAAAATATCCCCCTCAGGTTCAGCTGCTTCCCTTTTCCCCGTATTTTCTCATTTCACACTTCTCACTCTTCTATGATGAGATTAAAAGCTTCAATATGCAACATGCTCACTTATTTTCTTTATTCACACTTGATCATTTCTTTCTTCTGATCTCCGAGTAAAGGAAAAGAACATATTCTTAATGGGTTATCTAGGGAAAAGCACAGAGAAGGCGATGGCACCCCACTCCAGTGTTCTTGCCTGGAGAATCCCAGGGACGGCGGAGCCTGGTGGGCTGCCGTCTATGGGGTTGCACAGAGTTGGACACGACTGAAGCGACTTAGCAGCAGCAGCAGCAGGGAAAAGCAGCCAGTAGGAAGAAGAGACACTGGTCTACAGGAGGTCTACATCAACCCTGACTTTGGGAGTGCATTCCCCACAAGGAAGGGATGGAATGGAAAAACCAAGATGGCAGAGTCAGAACCACAAACGTAGTAGTGTGATAGTTTCCCAGGAGTTTGCAAGCCGGAGAGCCAGAGATACGATACTCTGATTTCCCACAAACTGAAATAAGATTTGAGTTTAAGTTAACTCCTGCTTATCTTTGATTGGAACAGTGCAGCATGTACTATCCACAGGTTGATAATAGGAAATACACATAATACTAAAATCTGAAGTCATAAACAGGAAAAGCACCCACCTCTACGCAGAACTGATTACACCGCATTAAGACAGGCTCTGATGAGGGAAAGCCATTGAAAAGTCAAGTCAAAAAAAAAAAAAAAGGCATAACTATAAAGCTCCAAGGAAGGACCAATAATCAAAGATCACATCTGATCAGGAACAATGCTGAGTCAATCCTTTTCTGAGTCCCAAGCAGCAAAGCGCATTTTGACAAAAGAGAACAAGGATACTGCTTGGTCTGTTAAGACAGAGGTGAATCATTTCAAATTTTCATTTTAAAACAAGACAAGAAGGGGAAGAAGTAATGTAGGTCCAATATGCACCCAAATTGGAAGTAGCCACATAGTGGACACCTTGAAGCTTTTACACCGTCAAACACATCTACCTGTATTCTCAAGAGGCAAATTCTCTAAGAAGTCATCTGCAGCCCACAGCATCTCTTTCAGTGCAGAGAGGATCAGGACATCTATGACAGGCTCCAGTTCCCACTCTGAGGTATAATTACTAACCACAAAGATGTCAGAAAGAGCGAATCCAAGTTTTCTGTGAACTGCCTCTAGCTGCAATAGAGAATGTAAAGCCCAGAAATCTTAAAATAGTGAAAAATACAATTTTATGTCAATATAAATTATGAAAGCACTAACATATAGTAAGGACTTGACAATGCTTTTGCTGTTGGAGAATGTAGAGACAGAGATCTGGCCCCATAAAGGGGTTTCTTCGAGAACTTCACAAGTCAAGTTCTAACATCATTGCTAATTTTCATTTAGAATACACATAATAAATTCGATATAAATGAGAAGTGAAAGGTACCTAATAGTTTCATACAAACTACACTGAAATTCAAGCATTTTAACACCTTTATATTAGAATCTATCATTTCCTTTAATTTCCTTTTTAAATTTCTTTTCGATTTTTATTTATTTATTTTTGGTTGTGCTAGGTCTTTGCTGCTTTGCACAGACTTTCTCTAGTTGTAGCGAGTGGAGGTTACCCTCTCTTTGAAATGCGCAGCCTTTTCATTGCAGTGGCTTCTCTTATTATAGAGCTCGGGCGTTAGGCACACGAGCTTCAGTAGTTGCATCCCACGGGCTCAGCCTTGCAGTGTGAGGGCCCTAGAGAGCGCAGGCTCCAGTAGCGGTAGCATTCAGGCTTAGTAGTTGCAACACATGGGCTTGGTTGCTCCGGGACATGTGGGATCTTCCTGGACCAGGGATCAAACACAAGTTCCCTGCATTGGCAGGTGGATTCTAATCCAGTGTACCACCAGGGAAGTTCCTTTTCAGTTTCCTTTTAAAGGTTATTCTCAGGATAATTTAGTGTTATGCTTAATTCAGGCTTTGCCTAGTTTATTTGTGGAACCACACTTCCTAGGTTCGAAATAAGACTCTGTCACCTCCTAGCACCATCAGTAAACTAGCAATTGTTTTACTCTGTATACTTCTGTTTCCTTATCTATCAAATGTGGTAATGACGGTGCCCATCTCATAAAGCTGTTATAGAGTATTGAATAAGAAAACGCATCACATGCTCAACGGGCTTCCCTGTTGGCTCAGTGGTAAAGAATCTGTCTGTAATGCAGGAGACCCGGATTCAATCCCTGGGTCAGGAGGATCCCCTGGAGGAGGGCATGGCAATCAACTCCAGTATTCTTGCCCTGAGAATCCCCATGGACAGAGGAGCCTAGAGGTCTACAGTCCATGGGGTCACAGAGTCAAGACATGACTGAAGCCACTAGGCAGCAATAGTGCTCAACAAACATTAACTGTCTTTACTTCCTCCCAACTATGGTTCCCACCTCCAGGTTCCCTCGACTCTGCACATGGGTGGCAGATTTTTATTGGCTTAACTTTGGTCATACCATTGCTCTTTCAAAAAAAAATTGCTGCAATTCCATATAATGCACCTAATTAATAGAATCATCTCATGCAAATGGAACTTCCTCACTCTCTCTACCACTCCAAGGATTCAGCCCTCCCCTAAACTAAACAGTGCCATGCTTCCCATACACACTACCTTTTGCTTCATTGATGCATTGACTTATGCTGTCCCTGGGGCCTCAGATTTTCCCCTTCTGGTCCCTTCACTTCCTGAAATGCTCCTCCTCAGTATCAACCCAGTAATGAAATCATTCCCCTCCCCTTTAATATACTATTTTCCCTTCTCTAGACTTTCAAAGCATTTATTTTTAATCATTTCTGTTTATCACACTCAATCATATCATATTCTTTTGTCAATTTCTTCTTATCCTACCACCTCCCCCAGTCTCTTTACCTCTTCCTACAAAATTATAAGCTTTTTTAGTGCAGGGAAATTATTTTTATTACCTCTGTATTTGATTGGAGACTGTCATATCTGCTTGATCATTAAGGTAATTTATATAAGTTGAATAGAATCTAACTAAGTTAAGTTGTAATGAATGGAAATATCTGTGTAAGTGAAAAGATAAATATAAATTTAATTTTTAAAAATTGGAAAATGAGCCTGAGTTATCCCAAGCAATTGTTTTAATTCTTCTTAAACACAGTAGGTGTTTGTTTTTACTTTTATACACAGTAATATGTGATTAGAGTGACATAATACCCCAGAAAATGTGTTTACAAATGGCATCACCCATTACCTTAAGTTTCACAAGCACACATTTGTATATGTCTATGAGGTCAGCTTTTGTAATCAGAAAAAGGTATCCACAGAGTGAGCAACACCACATGGACCACATCTATGCCAAAAAGATCCATATTATTTTTATTATTAAAGACAACACCAATATTTTTCATTTGATCAGCTATCAATTATGCAATATGCTATCTATGGAGCAATTCCAGAGACTTGAAAAGATTCCGCATCCCCCACAAAAAATGTCCCCCTTAACTACTCATTCATACTCGGAATTCGTCTAACAGAGGAAATACCCTTCATTGCCTCCTATGGGAAAAGACAAGACTTAAAAGAAACTCCCTCTTGGAAGAGGTAACTAAAATGTATGCTATAGCATTATTAATTGATTTTACATCCTATCCAAACATTTGCATTTTTATGGAGATTAGAGAAAACCAAAAGAACTCTAACACACAAGATGGGGGAAAAGACGCCTCAAGAAGGAGACGGAATTTTAGCAATCACCTCACTGAGCACCACCCTTGAAAGCTTTTAAATTTCAGTGAACAAGTAAATCAATCATTCCCTGCTTCTAACTTAATCAAAGTTGTGACAAATTGGCTCATCTGCAAACAGAATGAATAACAGGGCCTAGAAAAACTATTAAGGCACCCTAATTCCCTAATCCTATTTACCTTCTCCGAAGCCTTGATGCTACCTCTCCCACTAAACATCTTACTTTCCTACATCTTTTTCTTACTGAAATGTTCTTTTCCATTTTCTAATCCTTTAAGAAACAAAGGGGAATTTAGGATTCTTGGTAAATAAACACATGCTAGAATGTCGAGGTAGCAGGCAGTGAGGATTATAGTAACCTCTTCATCTATATTGATTTGTTTAATCTTTGTAATAAATCTCTGAGGTAGGCTCTATGATTACACTACAATTTTATAGATCAGAAAATTGAGGTACAAAGTCACTCAGCTTGTAGGGATTAATTTGATTGAATCACACTGATTAGCCAGAGGAGTATTCACCTATGAGGGCTTCCCAGGTAGCGCTAGTAGTAAAGAACCCGCCTGCCAATGAAGGAGACATAAGAGATGTGGGTTCAACCCCTGAGTTGAGAAGATCCCCTGGAGGAGGGCGTGACAACCCACTCCAGTATTCTTGCCTGGAGAGTCCCATGAACAGAGGAACCTGGTGGGCTACAGTCCTATGGAATCAGACACAACTGAAGTGACTTAGCACACACACATTCACATATGCAGTTTCTTAAGTTCTTCATCCTGTCCCCAAACTACCCAACAATATAATCAATTGCCTTAGAAGTAAAGTGGAAAGAGACTCACCAGACTTAATCAACTCCCTTCGAATTCTTTTGATCTTTTTCACTATCTGATAGGAGAGCTGTTCAACAGAGCTGGCATTGAACACAAATGCCACACAATGGACTCTGTCATCCAGCAATGGGCAGCCTGTATGGTTACCAATACCTTTTGGCATTAGTTTCAAGGAATTAACCTGTAAAGTCAACATAAAGCAACATATTAATTCAATGAATCACACTCCACACCAAGCACAGTTCAAGTGACTGAAACTGAACCAAACAGGCATGTCTCTAACATTAAAGAGCTACCGATGTGGTAGAGAAGACAGTTGTTATGCAATTAGATAGCTGTCCTTTCACATGGTCAGGTAAAGCTTCTGTGAGGAAGGGTCATATACTCAGAAAGCTAAAATGTTGGGGGGAGTTAGTCTGATAAAGGGAATAAGGAGATGGTAGAGACCATTCGAGATAGAAGCAGCAATGTGGATAAAGGTGGAAGTGAAAGCATTCAGAAATCTGGTATCATCAGAATACAAGGGGAAAAGTGATTCAAAATAGGATGTGTTTACTCTTGAAATTCCTCTGCTGGGAATCTGTCCTACATATATACTAGCAAAATACAAAGTGACATATATACAAAGCTATTAACTTCAGGACTATTTGTAGTGGCAAAAAATCTGATTCATCAATGACATATAGTATTCTATCACCTCTCTAAGAAAGGAGAAACCACAAATAAACTATAAATTTTTATATGGGTACTTATAAAAGAGGAGGAATATATTTTATGAGTCAGAGAAAAGATGGATTCTTTGAGTACACCCCCTTTTCTAGATTTGACCTTGTATAGATGATAAACATAAATATAAAACTAAATTTTAGAAGCTATCCTTAACTTTAAAAAAATAAGCTTTTATATCCAGTGGGATCATAACCACACAGAGATATACAATTTGATTAACTTGAAAACATAGTCATTTGTATATTTCTGCTACATATTTCCTAAATTGAATATAAAAATCTGCTAAAAGACTAAGTTGTTTCCATCTTTGATTGTGTTTACATTATGTTGGTATTAAATATGATCATGATTAGATTGTTCATAGTAGTAATAGAAATTTTGCTCTGAGACCACAGTGAATATTACATGCAATAAAGCAAATGAGCTGTGACATGATATTCTGCCAACTCTGATGCACTTAAGAATAGGGATTCTCTGCTTGGAAGAAATCAGATACAAATGTAAGATTGTTGTTCAGTGGCTAAGTCATATACAACTCTTTGCGACCCTGTGGACTGCAGCACACCAGGCTTTCTTGTCCTTCACTATCTCCCAGAGTTTGCTCAAGCTCATGTCCATTGAGTCAGTGATGCCATCCAACCATCTCATCCTCTGTCACCCACCCCCTTCTCCTCCTACCCCTAATCTTTCCCAGTGTCAGAGTCTTTTCCAATGAATAGGCCCTTCACATTAGATGGCCAAAGTTTTAGCACTTCAGCTTCAGCATCAGCCCTCCCAGTGAATATTCAGAGCTAATTTCCTTTAGGATTATGTAAAATAAAAGAGATTAAGTAGGAATTTGAATGGAAAGTTTCTGCATGAATTCATAATATATTTTATCATAAGTACATATATTATATATGTATGTGTGGGGGGGGGGTATCTTAGCCCTGTCTACAGAAAGGGGCAAGAACCAGTAGCCAACTAAGAAGCAATCAACAGTTCTAATGACCCAAGCAAAGACTCCTTAGAGAAATCACTGATTTAAAAATCTAGAACTGGAAATATATACAATGTGGCTTGAATATCTAGTATATCATAAATAAGAAATATAGAAAATTTTTAAGTTTCTGTCAAAAAAAAATCACTCAGTATCCAAAATGTAGAGGTTTCCACTGGTCAAAAATGGCATATTTGGCATCAAAATGGAGAAAAACATAGTAAATAGAAACATATCAAGTATGTTCAATTCATGAGTTCATATGGATAATAAAATAATAAATGGCAATTGTTGGCAGATACAAAGAGCTAACTTACTGTTTCAAAAGTTTGTAAAAAAGAGAAAAAATGGAGCATACATTTCTACCTTTCCTATATAAGCTCTACCACTAAATAATCTAGTAATAGAAGAGGGGAAGTTTCTCTTTCATATGTGAAATGAAGGAGTGATAGAAAGAGAATATCACTATTTTCACACTGCAATAAAGGACCCAGACATTGAACACTGATGAATACCTACATTAGAGAAATGACAAAACCCAAAGTTGTATGCCTCTTCATGAAAGGACACAGCACCACCTATGAAGCAGAAGCTGAATTTAAACATGCCACAGGCATGTTTCAGCATGCAGCAAAGTTCAGGCTATAGGTTAGTCTAGAGAACAAACAACTAGATTTCTTAAAAAATTAATTTTAAAGAATACCAGAAGATATAGAGGCAGAACATACGGACTAAAAGAGGCCTCAGAGATTTATTTGAATAATGTTTCTAACAAATTGTTAAAAAAAGATGCATGCTAAAGAGAAATGGGAAATACTTTGCAAATTAAGAACAAGTATAACTTTTAGATGTGATAAGCATATTATGGCTATATTTAATAAAAGACACATATGTGCCATGAGTGTACATATTATATATATATACATTTATATACATACATATATAAAAAATTTGACATGTTAGATATAAATTAAATATATATATTTTAATAACAAATTTTAAATAGATATATTTATTCAAATAAAAGTGAAAGTGTTAGTCTCTCAGTCATGTCCAACTCTTGGGAATCCCATGGACTGTAGCCAGTGAGGCTCCTCTGTGCATGGAATTCTCCAGACAAGAATACTGGAAAGAGTAGCCAGGAAATAGTGGAAAGGAGTGGCTACTCCTCCCTCCAGGAGATTTTTCTCACCTAGAGATCAAATGTGGGTCTCCTGCATTGAAGGCAGATTCTTTACCATCTGAGTCACCAGGAAGACTAGAGATCTTGTCAAGAAAATTGGAGTGATCAAGGAAAAATTCATGCAAGGATGGACGTGATAAAGGACAGAAACGGTAGTACCTAACAGAAGCAGAAGAGATTAAGAAGATGTGGGAAGAGTTCACAGAAGAACTATACAAAAAAGATCTTAATGACCCAGATAATCACAACAGTGTGGTCACTCACCTAGAGTCAGACATCCTGGAGTGTGCAGTCAAGTAGGCCTTAGGGAACATTACTACAGACAAAGCTAGTGGAGGTGATGGAATTCCAGCTGTTATTTCAAATCCTAAAAGATGATGCTGTTAAAGTGTGACATTCAATATGTCAGCAAATTTGGAAAACTCAGCAGAGGACACAGGACTGGAAAAGGTCCTTTTTCAATCGAATTCCAAAGAAAGGCAATGCCAAAGAATGTTCAGATTACTGTACAGTTGCACTTATTTCACATGCTAGCAAGGTAATGCTCAAAATCCTTCAAGCTAGGCTTCAGCAGTAGGTGAACCAGATACACACACTGAATTAGAAAAGGCAGAGGAACCAGGGATCAAATTGCCAACATTCTTTATATCATAGAGAAAGCAAGGGAATTCCAGAAAAATATCTATTTCTGTGTCACTGATTATGCTAAAGCCTTTGACTGTGTGGACCACAACAAACTGTGGAAAATTCTTAAAGAGATGGGAATACCAGACCTCCTTACCTGTCTCCTGAGTAACCTGTATGCAGGTCAGACATTGAACAACAGACTGGTTCAAAATTGGGAAACAAGAACATCAAGGCTGTATATTGTCACCCTGCTTATTTAACTTCTATGCTGAGTACATTATGCAAATGCCACACTAGATGAATCACAAGATGGAATCAAAATTGCCAGGAGAAATATCAACAACCTCAGATATGCAGATGACAACACTCTAATGTCAGAAAGTAAAGAGGAACTGAAGAGCCTCTTAATGAGGATGAAAGAGGAGAGTGAAAAAGCTGGCTTAAAACTCAACATTCAAAAAACTAAGATCATGGCATCAGTCCCATCACTTCATGACAAATAGAAGGGGGAGAAAATAGAAGCAGTTATATATTTTTCTTTCCTTGGGCTCCAGATCACTGTGGAGTGTGGAGATGCAGCCATGAAATTAAAAGACACTTGCTCCTTATAAGGAAAGCTATGACAAAACTAGATAGCACATTAAGAAGGAAAAATATTACTTTGTTGACAAAGATTCATAGAGTCAAAGCCATGGTTTTTCCAGTAGCCATGTATGCATGTAAATGTTGGATGGTAAAGAAGGTGGAGTGCCAAAGAGTGGATGCTTTCAAGTTGTGGTGCTGGAGAAGACTCCCGAGAGTGCCTTGGACTGCAAGGAGATCAAACCAGTCAATCCTAAAGGAAATCAACCCTGAATATTCATATGGAAGGACCAATGTTGAAGCTGAAGCTCCAATACTTTGGCCACCTGATGCAAAGAGCTGATTCATTGGAAAAGACTCCAATGCTTGGAAAGATTGAGGGCAGGAGGAGATGGGGACAACAGAGGATGAGATGGTTGCATGACATCACTGACAGGATGGACATGAGTTTGAGCAAACTCCAGGGGATAGTGAAGGACAGGGAAGCCTGGCGTGTTGCAGTCCATGAGGTCCCAGAGGGTCAGACACAACTTATCAAATGAACAACAACAACAGCAACATATATTTAAAGGCATATTCACTTATGGGTGAAATGTTATGACTTCTCATATTTTCTTCCAAATAATACAGGAGAGAAGAATGTGGGTAGACATAGATGAATCAAGATTGGCTATAAATAAAAAAATTGTTGAAGCTATGTAAATGAAAATTTGTTAAATAGTTTTGTCCACTTTTACATAAGTTTAACATAAGTTTATTTATTCTCTATAATAAATATTTCTTTTAAAGAATATTTTAAAATAAGCTTAGCTACCTCTATAAGATAACTTGACACTAAAGAATGAAAGAACCTTGCATGAATTTAAAAATAAAGTATTTTATGTTTCTGGATAAAAATACTGGATGTGTAAAGATGTATATTGACATGCAATGTAAAATTTTCACATCATCCCAACCAAAGCAACAACAAATCAAACACAGAAACAACCAAATAAAGCACAAACAAGTTCATTTGAAAAATTGTATGTATGAAATAGTCAAAAATCTGTGAGAAATGAATAATGAATGATGTATCCAGTGAGTTATCAAGACACAATTTATTGCCATAGAAATTAAAACAATTAGACAATATAATAAAAACAATATCACAGAGGAATTGAAATATATATTAATAGGAAAAACTATGGAATAAAAAGTAATACATACATTTAAAATGAAAAATAGGCAAAGACATTCAATGAAAGATGTTGATACATTTGGCTATTCATTTGGAACAATATGAATTAATAATTAACTTAAGATCTAAATGTTTATAGAAAGGAATGGGAAAGTTGATTTGTTTTTTTTTAAAGGCTGACTGAAGTAGTTCTTCTCTTTAATATTTTCCTTTTTCTTGCCTGGAATATTGACAGTGCTTAGCATGATCATCTTGAGAACACAAAGATTAAAAACCACATGTCTTAGTCATCCTGGCCTGCTGTCACAGGTTAAAGAGAAAAACCTTTATTTCTCATAGTTCTGGAAGCTAGGAAATCCAAGATCAAAATGCTAGTAGATTTGGTGTGTGGTGAGAGCCACCTTCTTGCTGTGTCCTCATATGGTTTCTAGAGAGGCCATCTCTTGCGTCCTTTCTTACAAGGGTACTAATTACATTTATGAGGGTTTCATTGTCATGATCTAATCACCTCCGAAATTCTCTACCCTCAAACCTCAGCACGTTATGGATTATGCCTTCAACATATGAATGTGGGGTTGGGAGGGCAAACATTATGCCTTACTCTGAGGGATCTCAGAACCAAAAGTCAGAAGGACTCTTGAAATTAATAACCTGCCACACTGGCCCAAAACTGCCTACCTTCAGACTTCCTGTTACATAAGAAAAATCACCCATGTGAGTATATTGATGTAGTTAGATTTCTGTTTCACATAACCAAAAGCAAGCCAACATGAAAGAGCGCTCATGGTTATAACAGCTATAAGAAGAATCCTTTGGATGCTTTGTATGCTATCACTTCATTTGTGTCTGACTCTTCATGACTGTGTGGACTCTATCCTCTGTCCATGGGAATCTCCAGGTAAGAATACTGGAGTGGGTTGCCGTGCCCTTCTCCAATGAATCTTCCCAACCCAGGGATGGAACCCAGGTCTTTTGAGTTTCCTGCACTAGCAGGCAGGTTCTTTACTACTAGTGCCACCTGGGAAGCCCCTTGGATGTTTTAATTCTTTATAAAATAAAATATCAAAATGCAGAAAAGGATCATGAACAAGTATATTTTAATACAGTAAATCCCAACACACTAGAGTCTGATATTGTCAATTGTGGGCAAAAATAGACATTTTAAGTATCAATTATACATTCTCAATAATTAGCTAAATCATACCTGGTATCTGTCAGGAAAATGGCCTTCTAAGATACAGGGTATGTCATCCACGTCCAGGCCTTCTTTCTCACTTAGCCCCATTGAGTCACACAGAATAAATGGCAGAGTGTTGTTATCCTTCGCATCCTTAATGAAATATGTTCTGTACTGCAGAGGGAAAAAAGCAGCTTTAAGAGCTCATTTTAAAAAAAGACTGTAAATTGAAATGAACTCTATGTGTAATTAAATTGATCAGCAAAAGGCATTTCAAATCTAGTTAACTTGACTAAAGAAGCAAGGGCTGAGTGATCTAGCACGGACTCACCTTTTCAGATGTCCCGCTTGGATTGGAACCCACCAAAGCCTGGTTCGTTACATGGCCTCGGAAAATAGACTTCACTGAGTTGACAAAGCTAGACTTCCCAGCTCCAACTGGACCCAGAAGCAGAATCTGAATTTTGTGAACCAGGCCTCCATATGGTATGTAATTTCTGATAGCACACAATAGGCTCTCCTTGAGCTTGTTTAGATAAGACAAGTTTAACAGTTGACTAAGGTTAAATCATAAGACTCTACCATAAATTTTCCTAGAATTCAGTCTCTTTTCTTCTTCTATGTTATTATTTATTTCTAACTAGCAACTTGTATACAAAGACATGAAACTATCTTATCTCAAATCCTATTGTAAAAGAAGTAAAAGTAAAAATAACAGTTTTAACTAAAACCAATCAGACATAAAGCCTTTTGGACTTAAGTATATATAAATCTTGGAATAAACAGCAATTATGTTAAGCAAGAAGATAAATTATCAATAATAGACTTCAAAAACCACAACACAATATGTGACTTTTGAAGTTTATAGATGTAGATGGTTTCTAACATGTTCTTGAAGTTTGTCATAAGTATTCCTGCCCTGCCAACCACCCCTGCCCTGAAATAGTTAAAACTGTAGCTCTAAGAATTCTAAGCAAAAATACAGACATTCAGCCAAATAATAATTTCCCTTTAATATATAAAAACATTAGAAATGCCTTTCAGTGCTCTTTTTGCTTTAACATTGAAATTATGAAATATTTTGTGATTATAGATACAGTTTGTTCTTTGTGAGGCACAAGTTATATGCTATAATTTACACTACCAATTTTATTGACAGACTGTACAGTAGAATAGGGCTTTCCAGGTGGTGCTAGTGGTAAAGAACCTGCCTGCCAATGCAGGAGACATAAGAGACACAGGTTCAACCCTTGAGTCAGAAGATCCTCTGGAGGAGGACATGGCCAACTCACTCCAGTATTCTTGCCTGGAGAAACCCATGGACAGAGGAGCCTGGTGGGCTACAGTCCATAAGAGTCACAAAGAGTTGGGCATGACTGAAGAGACTTAAAGGAGGAAAGGATAGTAGAATAAGTCTCAGATAATGAACAGAATAATAGAACATTAAAAACATTGACTTACTCAGTAATCCCACTCATCCTCCTTTCGTCCAATAAATCTAGAGAAATAATCAAAGAATAATGAAGATTACAGGTTGTTGAATGATTGGAACTGAATAAATGTCAATGAAGTCACTAGAAAAAATTACAAAAATTGCCTTTCTGCAGGAACAGTACAGTATGGTGAAAAGCAAGTAGAAAATTACAGGGAATCTCCCTAATGTATTTCATTTGAAGAGTCCAGAGCCGGACTCAAGGTGGGCACTGCAAGATCTTTTCTCACCAAATTATTTAGCAATAGTGTGTGGTCCACTCCAATACGAGAGATGTGGGCTGGGTCCTCTCTGAATGAGAGAAGCAAGGCCTAGAGGCATAGACAGGCCAGGGAAAGACTTGAAATACTCTAAAATATCTTCTCCTCCATAAATCCAATAGATCTGAAGGGGATAATGTACAAAAACACACAAATAAAAAACCACAGGCACCAGATTTTCTCTAAAACCTACTATCAACTGTTGGGCCTCAGAACTTCCAATGCAATTGATTTTCTTCTTGGTGCAGAAGGGAATATAGTACTTGTGCATAAACAATGAGAGCACAATAAAGGTTTCAAGGGCAGACTTATGTCTTCACTGAACCAGTGAGACTCAGGCTCAGCATTCCTTTGTTTCTTGGAAAGGGTTACTCTTTTTTGGTGGATTTAAAACTGGAAGGATTAGGTGTAGTGATGCTGGTAACTCTAAATAACAAAAGAATACTACTGTGTGGAACATTTCTAAATATAGCTAAATGCATGATTACAAAGAAATGTTCTTTAAATTACCAAAGGTAGAAATAGTGAAGACTGTGTTCAACAACTACAATGTAATAAAACTAGAAAAGAATGAGTGTAAACAAAGAGAAGGGCAACCTCTTAGGATTTCAAAAGCACTTTTTATATAGCTTCAACATCCAAAAGGAAATAAAAATCACAATTGTAAATGTATAGGATATAAGAATATAAATACTTAATATCAACCTTGGGATGTGTATATTTCATGAATAACAAGAAAGAAGGAAAGAAACAGAAAGTAGAAACAAAAGAATAAAGGGAAACAAATCTTAGAAATATAAGAATATAACAAAAATAAAAAGGAAAATTCATAAATTGAAAAGAATGAATTAATATAGTAATTAATTAATGTAAAATATGAAATAAATAAATTACTAACTAGTCCAATCAAAAAAAGCCAAGTTCACAAAATGTCACACCACAAGTTACATACCAGTATGGCTACAAATTGCAAGATCAGTAATAAAAGATTTGGGGAAAGTTTTAGAGAGACAGAAAGTCTCATACACTGCTCGTGGTAATGAAAATGGGTATGACAATGTTGGAAAACTTTATCAGTATCTACTGAAACTGAATATACACATACCTGATGACCCAGCAATTTCATACTTATATTCTTAAAAAAATTTTATATATATATATATATATATATATATATGAGCCAAAAGACATATACAAGAATATTTATAGCAATATTATTTGTACTAGCCACAAACTGGAAAACCCAAATGGTCACCAAAAGTGACTTGATCTTTTTTATAGTGTGATGGACTCATTACAATGAATATTATATGAAAATAAAAAGGAGAAAATTACTACTATATAATACTATGGATGAATAATTAGGGAGGTAGAAGTTAAAACAGCTGACCTAGGATACATTCACTCTCTTTACCAGGGAAATAAAAAAAGTAACTAGTTCAAATTTCATAAAGATGCTAGTAGTCTTCTCTCCTGGGAAATAAACTAGTGATATTTGCTACAAGGACGGTGTTTTTCGCTTGAATATCTTTAACAGTATGTTCCTGACTAAGAATTATGTGCTGAGTTACTTCAGTCATGCCAAATTCTTTGTGACCCCATGGACTGTAGCCCACCAGGCTTCTCTATCCATGGGAATCCTGGAGTGGGTTGCCATTTCCTTTTCCAGAGGATCTTCCTGACCTAGGGATCTAACCCAAGTCTCCTGCATCCCCTGCAGTAGCAGGCAGATTCTTCATCACTGAGCCACCTGGAAGCCATTTCTTTATTTCAAAATGATATATTGACGTGTAACTAGCTAAAGGCTAAAAGGCAGCATAGTGTTATTCTAGAGTCCAGGGCAGTATCTGGCACATAAACAGGTATTTCTACAACACTTTTGTGGGTAGCACAGACAACTGAAGCTTTTGTAAGGTATCTACCCAAATGTAAATGTACATAATTCTTAAACAACAACTCCGCCATCAGGACGTTACCATAAAGAAGTATTTTAGTGTACTCATATGCATACAGATAATACAGGAGCGTTGGCTGTAACAGCAAATATAAGGAACAACTTATGTCCTTAGTAGAACAATAGGTAAACTAACTTTGGTCTTTTGATATGATGGATATAATAGGAAACTGCAGCAGAAAGCATGGAGTACCAGCCAAGAGAAGTTCAAGCTCTGGTTTCTTTCTAACAGTCTCACAATCTTCAAGTTTGCTTTCTGTTCTCTCTCTCACTTCCTTCCACATTATCTCCTCCTCCCTACCCCTTCCCCACACTCCAGAGAGCTCTAGATATGCAACTTTTGACCATGGTTGTGTTGTAGAAAACAATTTGGGGCTGGTTTTCAGTCTGGGGCCTCCTGAAGATAAGGACAAGTATAAAAAATTATTGTTACTTACAAGAATGGGTCAGCTAGAACCCTCCAAATGTGAAGGGTTATCTGGTTAAACCTACCTTCACATCGAAAAACTTCACAGTCCTGGAAGGAAATATAATGTTGATATAGTCCAGGTTTTTTCACTGTATTTATACTAAAATGCATCTTTTTTTCCTTTAGATGTATACTGACTTCACGATTTCCATAATCATCTTCATCAAACAACATAGGTAGTTTAAATGGTCCTACTTTGCATTTTGTAATCATAGACTCTTGAAAGACAAAAACAGTGATTAAATAGTTTCCTTCCCCATAGTTCTTTTGCATATATGCCCCAACAATTTGATCGTCACTGTAAACCACTGTTAGAGTAGGTCCTTGTTCAGAGCATATCTTAAGCAAACTGTTAGTGGAGAATCCATGGACACTGGCCTTATAGAGAAGACTAAACTGCTTTTCTACAAAGTAATTTTGCAGCTTTTTCTCTTGCCTCCATGTCAAACAAGTTGCCACTGCCATACTTCTCAATCTGGTGGAAAATCAAATATTTTCCATTAAATATTGAAATTTTTACACTGCCAAAATATTTGCATTAATGCTTCTTATTTACTTTGCATTACAAATGAAACGTGTTAACAGAGAGTGAATAAATAACAAGAAAAGTCATTAGCTAGTTTTTCATTCTAAACGATTTCTTTTTTAATTAAAAAAAAAAGACTACTGTTTGCAAGAGGCTAGGGAAAGTGGAAAGCCACAAATCATTTACCTGTTTGGAGAATCTCTTCAAGGGCTGAAGCTGAGGGTAGCTGCTCTGTCTGACAGCTAGGCAGGCACAAAGTGGGAGCAGAAACTTTCTCAGCAACCTTGAGGCTTTGGAGAGGCAGAGAAAAGGAAACTGAAACAGTGAGGTCCAGCCCAGTTGGCCTGAGTGCTCACTTCCTCTAGTAAGCAAGCATAAAGGGATCCAGCTAATTTTAGATAGTGGGGTCATATAAAAATTATATTAGAAGAATCAAGGAATTGAAGTCAGAAGGAAGAAAGCCTAATAGCTCACTACTTTTTTTAATGACTTAAAAAAATTTTTAAGGACAATTCAGTTTCTATATATGGACACACAAAAAAAGCATTGTCTATTCTACCTCCAGCATGCATCTCAAATGTGTTCATTTCTCTTCATCTCTGCTATCAATATATTCTAAACCAACAAATGTAGATTGTTTAAACAGTTTCCTAACTGGTCCCTCTACTTCTCTGTTTTCCTCCTCTCCAATACTGTCTCTTCAATGGAACCAGTCATTTGTAATATATACACTGAATAATGTAAATTTCACACTAAAACCCCTTCTCTGATTCCACATTGCCAGGGGTCACAAACCTGTGTCCTATAGGCTGAACACAACCTGCAGGATGGTTTTGTAGGGCCAACACAATTCTTTTTTCTTCTTCTGTTTCCCCCCCGCCCCTTGGTGGGAATGGGGTGTGGGAGTAAATTTTAAGTTTGAATATTTTTATATCACTCCATTTCCGATTGTCCTCATAAATCGACTAATTCTGGTTCTGAACATCTTTAACTGTTTGCCTGGCCCAAAGAGGAATTTAAGTTTTTTATTCTATTTTAAAAAGCACTATAAAATAAAAATATTTTAGATAGTTTTAGGTATTACTTACTTAGCTAAAAAAGTACCAGAAGCTATCATATGCTTATTATTTACAAGGCACTATCCATGTTATCTCATTTATTCATTTCAATAATCTTGTGGGAAAAATACCAATCTTGCCTCCAGTTTTCAGATAAATAAACTATTGGAGTTCAATAACTTGCCAAAATTCACTCTGCTGCTAAATTTTAGAGCCAAGATTTGAACCATAATCTAAGGGAAAGCAGCGTGATAGGGATTTCACAGGTACATACATTTGTCAAAACCAATCAAATTATATACTTCCAACAGGTGCAATTTTATGTATCTCAATTATATCTTATTATAGCTGCTAAAAAAGTCTACAAGTTCCAAACAATATATTATCCTGTTTTCCCCTGTATAGTAAAAAAGTGTGTAATACAGTTAAACTGCCTGGCCACATTTTAAGGGCAATGACATACATAGATATACTTAAATAATTCATTAACATGAAAATAAAAGTAAGAAAAATAGCATCATAAGATCACTGGCCTTCCACTCAAGTAGATGCTCTTTTGCAAAAGCCGTTAATTATCTGTCAACTCCAGAGTCTCTAGCTATGCAAGGTAAGCTTCCTATTTGTGTTGTGAACTAAGATTCTTTCATTCATTCTTTCTTTCAATATTTATCAGATACCTACTATGTGCCTCCACTGTTTTGGAGGCTAAGGATATAGTAGACAAGACAAAGTTCCTGCCCTCATAAAACTATAGTCTTTAGAAGGCAGGCAATCAACACAAATGTTATCTAGAGAAAAAAGTTGTGAGGAAAATAAATGGGAATAACAGGGAGAAGAATGACGAGGAGTATCTGCCACTTCAGATCATACAATAAGGGAGTGTCTGAGGAGACGGTGTTGGAGAAGAGACCTGAGTGAAGGTGGGGAGAGTGCCCTGGATATATCCAGAGGAAGGGCGTTGTAGGCAGAGGAGGGCAAGCAAAACCTTGGATGGTGGTAAGGAGGACAATATGGCAGCAGTAAAGTGGGTATGGAAGAGATTAATGTCAGTGATCACTCTAAAAAGAGAAAGAATATAGGGCAGCAAGAAGGCTACTGCAGTGTCAGCTGAGAAGTGAAGATCACGTAGCCTAGTGTGATAGTGAGAGAAGCAATGAAAAGTGGTAAGAATCAGCATACATTTAAGGATGACCAAAAAGCTGTGAGAACTAACTGTAGGACTGGTTGTAATGGGAGGGGAGCAGGAATGGAGGACAAAGGAGAATTTACCCTTTGGACAAAGGAGAATGGCCCTCACAGATTTTTGTCTAGAGAATGGGTAAATGATGGAACCACTTGTTGAGATGTGTATACTGGAAGATTTCTTAAGGGGATATCATATATTCTGTCTTATACTGAAATCTGTAAGTGCATAATACAGCTAGTTGGGTTTATGAGATCAGAGACTAGGAAAGAGGACCAGGTTGAACATTGCATTTGAGAATCATCAGCATAAATCTACATCTATATATCTGGAGAAGGAAATGGCCACCCACTTCAGTATTCTTGCCTGGGAAATCCCATGGACAGAGGACGTGTTGGGCCACTGTCCATGGGGTCTCAAAGAGTCTGACATGACATAGTGACAAAACAATGGCAGTAATATCTATATTTATCTATCTAGAAAGCTAAAAGTGACCTTAAATTAATGAGAGCAGTCCTATAGACCAAAACCTGCCCCTGTCCCCAACATCTAAAGGTCATATTTATTCAAAGGGTCTATCCAAGAAGACTCAGAATGTGTGACCAGAAAAGAGAAAAGCCAGTAAGTTATCCCAGGAGCCACATGAAGAATGAGAAAGTGACCATCAAATATTCCACCATCAAATAGTGGAATACTTTCCTTCAGAGCCTCCTGCATTTAGACATCTGAAAAGACTCACTCTGTCTCTCAGGATCTGGGAATTTGAGGAAAAGTCTCATCTCAGTGTGGCAGAGGGCATTAGGGTAGTGACGACTATCTCTTGTTAGGGAAAGGGTGGAATTTGCTAGAGAAGGTAGCTCTGCTGCAAATAAAGAAGTGAATCTTCAGGGAAGCTGTCTCCACAGAGCTGAGTGAGGCTGTGGTCTGTGCTAGCAACGGAGAGGGAGGCCTCCTGCCCTGGCCTCAGCGAACGGCTCAAGGGTAAGCAGATCCATTTCCTTCTTTTCATGCTCAGTAGAAAGGACCTCTTGTCAAACTGGCCAGTCCTGAGAGTCCCGAGTTCTTAGTGCATCAGAGACCACTGCTTTATATGCTGTTGGTGATAAGGAAGACTTTAAAGCTGACTCCAGCAAAGAAACATGGGAAGGTTTCTGAAAAGCTGTGATGGGCGGAGCAGCCTCGAGTGGAGATTATTTGATAAAACAAAAGGCTTTCAGAGATTAAGTGAAGTCGCTCAGTCGCGTCCAACTCTTTGGGACCCCGTGGACTGTAGCCTAACCAGGCTCCTCCGTCCATGGGATTCTCCAGGCAAGAATACTGGAGTGGGTTCCCACTTCCTTCTTCAGGGGATCTTCCCGACCCAGGGATTGAACCCCGGTCTCCCGCGTTGCGGGCAGACGCTTTAACCTCTGAATTGCTGCTGCTGCTAAGTCACTTCAGTCGTGTTCGAGTCTCTGCGACCCCAAAGACGGCAGCCCACCAGGTTCCCCCGTCCCTGGGATTCTCCAGGCAAGAACACTGGAGTGGGGTGCCATTTCCTTCTCCAATGCATGAAAGTGAAAAGTGAAAGTGAAGTCGTGTCCCGCTCTTAGCGACCCGATGAATTGCAGCCCACCAGGCTCCTCCGTCCATGGGATTTTCCAGGCAAGAGTCCTGGAGTGGGGTGCCATTGCCTTCTCCGAACCTCTGAATTAGTGAGGGTTAAATGCAGTGTGACCACTGTCTGAACTTCTCCTATGCTCAGGTTCCACTGTTCCCTGAAAGGCTCATAAGAGCAGAAGATCCTCTCTTCTTCCATTTTGAAGACTGCCTTAAGAATTCAGACTGGAGGGAGGGGTCTAATATCACCTGGAAGGTAGCTGTCAGCTCAAATAGAAAGATGGGAATCTTAGGGTAATACTTGACACATTCCTTGTATGATCAATGAAACCAAAATAAATAAGGCTTAGCTCTGTAAAAATAAAGAAAACAAGACATGGAGATGGCAGGAGAAATCATTTGGTAGTCAGCACTAACCTCACATTCTTTTGAAAGATGCTGTAGAACTGGCATTTATCAAGATGTAGTTTCAAACCTGCCCTCCTACCCACTCTATACACACACATTATTGTTCAGTTGCCCAGTCATGTCCGACTCTGCAACCCCATGAACTGCAGCTCACCAGGCCTCCACATCCCTCACCATCTCCCAGAGTTTGCCAAGTTCATGTTCATTGAATCAGTGATGCTGTCCAACCATTTCAACCTCTGATGCCCTCTTCTCTTTCTGCCCTCAATCTTTCCCAGCATCAGGGACTTTCCCAATGAGTCATCGATTCACATCAGATGACCAAAATACTGGAGCTTCAGCTTCAGTATCAGTTATTCTAGTGAATATTCAGGGTTGATCTCCTTTGAGATTGACTGGTTTGATCTCCTTGCTGTCTAAGGGACTCTCAGAAGTCTTCTCCAGCACCACAGTTTGAAGGCATCAATTCTTTGGCAATAACCCAATAACTTAGACAGAACTTGCTCATAAATTATGTCATTTAAATGAATCAACACCTTCAAAAAGTTGATATTCTCAGCTTTCCTTTCCTTGAGACTTTAAAAAAGCTTATTAATACATGCTCAATATGAGCTCAGAGTTGGGGTAGATCCTACCAAAGCTTGTGTTTGTGTCCTCTTCTCCCCACCCTTTGCATACCCCTGCTGGTCCTTTTAGCAACAAGGATCAACCCTATATATTTGGAGTATTTTGAGTGTCTCAGGTCTTTAGAAAAAGATATGTTCCAACCGTTCAGGCAGCCTCAGACAGCCTGAGTCTCAGCCTCACATTTTAGAACAGAGATGTGTCCTTCTATTGGATAATCTACAGATGATTAGACTATCTCTAGGTTAGATTATTATAACCAAGCCATTTAATCATGAATTTAATGAAAGGCTCACAGGCCACATTGACAAGATTGTCACATAGTTTCTTCTGTAAGGTGTGGGACTTCTTCAAATGGGAATGAAGACTTTGGGCACATTGCCCTGGCTTCTAGTCTGTATCTTAACTTTCACATGGTACTGAGAATTTCCCCCTTTGCTAATGACACCCTTCCTCTGGGTCTCTTCGATTCTGTTTCTCTTGATGTTTCCATCAGTGTTATGGCCAATGTCTCTTCCCTCTTTCTTCCCAGGATTGGTGACTACCTTGTACTTTCTACAGAACTGAGTCCTTATATTACCTTTTTAGTACATAGCAATTCCATAAATTCTGTGTTCAGATCCTTTCATGGCCTGGACTCCCAAGAATCTATATGGAAGTTTAAAATACTCAGATCACCGTTTCAGGTTTGTTTGAGGTTTTTTTTTTTAACCCCTGTTCTTAATAATCTTAATTCTTAAGAAGACAATGGGGATGACTCTGAGAAATAAGGGATGAAATATACACAGGAAAATACAAATAACTATATATATATATATATAGTTATTTTAAGAGGTTATTCTAGCTGCATGTGCAACCCATTTGAAATATCTGAAGCCCTACTATGTAGATGAGCTATTTTTTCTCCCTGGACTCTTCAGCCGTGGGGACTTGACAATTCTCCCTCTATAAATCTACACTGAGAATAGAAACACTGACTGCCTACCCAGCAGAACAAGGTCTGATACACTCAGAATAACATATCTGTATTTTTATCTTATCAATAGTAAGCTTACTGAAATTATAGTGATCCATTCACATTTGAATTGCTTCTACAACATAACACCAAAATAAAACACAAATGTTCTCAAAAACTTAACTATGTGCAATTTTCTTTGCATTTTTTATTAATATCAGACTGGCATTCTCATGAAATATTCCAAAGAAATAAATTGTTTAAAAAAATTAAAATGATTTACCCACCTCTGTTGAGCTCAGCTTGCTGGTCTTTTCCATGCCTCTTGTGAGTTCCTGCCATCTGTACTTGCAGTTTTGCTTACACCAAAATTTCTTCCCTGGGGCCTGGAATAGCTTGAATCTATTCATGTGAGGGGTGTGCAGCTCGATGTTGACTATTAGCCTAACTATTGTCTGACTGACCCCAGTGTCCTGAATTTTCTCCAGCACCAGAGAAAACTTTTGCAATGGTTTGGTAGGGTTGATTCCATCTTGCTTAGATTGAGGGCAAAAATCAGATGTATTTAATCTACTCTCCTCCATAAATTAGCCCAGACATTCATCACATTAAGGATGGGATTTGGGGACATCCAAATTCTCACAGCTTTATAGAATGCCTTAAGACTTTGATCAACCTTCCCTTGTGGCTCAGAATGTGAAGAATCTGCTGCAATGCAGGAGACACAGGTTTGACCCCTGGTCAGGAAGATCCACTGGAGAAGGGAATGGCTACCCACTCCAGTATTCTTGCCTGGAGAACTCCATGGACAAAGGGGCCAGGTGGGCTAAGAGCTCATGAGGCTCAGAGTCAGACTCAACTGAGCAACTAACACAAAGATTTTGATCAGCCTTGTTATCAAGTGGCCACTTTAGCATCAGATGGAGTTATGTCCCTACAAGATGATTAATCATCAGCTGGTATTTGAATCATCTGAGGCTTACTTGAGTCCCCCAATCAGTTTTGTCAAATTAGTTATTAGCTTCCCTTTTTTATGAAGAAGCAACACGATAATCTTTTAAGATTAGTTTTCTAAAGAAGACAAAGGCTTGCACATCTCCCACCATAACTACCCCTCTTATTAAGATGGATGCTGGATGAATTTGTACAATGCTACAAGTTTCTGTCAGAAATAATTACTTTTATTTTTACTTTTTTTCAAATTTCATTAAGATATAACTGATATAAAACATTATGTAAGTTTAAGATTTTCAACATGATGATTTAATAAACATATATTATGAAATGATTGCCATAATATGGTTAATTAACATACCCATCATCTCATCTCAAATCATTACCATCTTGTATATGTGGAGAAAATATTTAATAACTACTCTCTAAGCAACAACTGAAATTTTGTATCCTTTAACCAACATCTCATTTCCCTCCCGCTCAGCCCTCGGCCACCACCATTTCATTAACATTTAAGTAATGTTATGCAGTATTTGTCTCCCCTATATGACTAATTTCTTTTAGCATAATATTCCGGTCCATCCATTTTGTCTAAAATGGCAGAATTTTCTTCTTTTATGGTTGAATAATATTCCATTTCTTTATCCATCCATTTGTTGATGGACATGTAGATTAAGAAACATGTTGTGGCATGTTTTAATGCCACAACCCAACCCACTCATTCACCTACCCCACCTACCACACAAAGGTTCTAGCACTGATACTTAAACCGTCTCACCAACATCCCTCTGACTTTAAGACAATATTCTACCTTATATTTCCCCTTGTTTTATGTACTGTGCCCCTTAGCACTATTTTGCTAAGAAGTATTTTAGCAATTTTGGCTGAGATGAATTGCAAATTATGTAAAGTTGAAAAAATCCTGAATGGCTTCTAAAATGCAGCAAAATGGTGGGTCCTGTTGTCTCTCAGGATGGTAGAGAAAGATCAGCAGAATCTACAGTGTCAGGGCAAGTCCTCTCTCAGACAAAAGAGAAGTTTATCCCTTTTTGAAGCTCCCTGCCATCACCAATCTTTTCCAGCCTAAACTCCAAATAAACATTTAGCTCCATTGGAGGTTTAAATGTGCCCAAAGTGGTGTAAAGTCAGAGGATTCAGAATTGTGACATCAATTATCTAACATTGCCCTTTATAGAAAAAAAGAATAAACCTCAGTATTTACAAACAATGTTGGCTCACCTAGACAGTCCCTCATTGCTTAAGTCTGTTCATGATTCCATTACTTCCCTTCTTTTTCAGCATCTCCTTCTCCCTCATAACAGTATTCCATGCTATCCTTTCAAATAAAGTTCCACTTTGAATTTAATTTTATATCTAGAAAAACTTTCCTCTGCCTAGATTTTTGCTGACTCCACTCTGGAGAAGGATGAAGTATGGCCCTACAGTTGGTGAAATCAATGGTGTGTCTTGAGTCACTTTCAGTCTTTTCCAACCGACAATAGCCATGGCCTTTTTTTCTCCCTAGAATACATGGAGGCAAACATACCTTACTTTCCAGACCTGTTGTGTCTTACATCCATGTCATAACTATCCTGTCTGCCACTCTAATTTTGTTCCCAACATCTACTTTGGGCTCTACTCCTCAATACTTATGACCATTCTATTCCCAAATATTTTCTAAAGAACCTATCCATCTCTTCCATTGAATTATGGCTTCTGGACATTCATTAGAATATGGCTTCACCTGTAGCTTTGCTTTTGGAAATACTCCTTTTCCCATAATTATCTCAAAGGAATTCTTGCCCTTGTAATACCCAGGGCTTCCCGCAAAAGATAATAATTCTAAGTTAGATTGTATAATATAAAGAACTATTGATCCAAAGCATATTCATTTGAAAAAGACAAAAATTTGAAAGGAGTTAAGTAAAAAGAGAGAAAACCTGATTCTTCTTCTTTCTTTATTAATAGTTCTAATTTCTTCAGCTATTCAGTGAAATTTAGAATCATTTGGGAGTACTTGTATAAAAGAACCTTATTATTAACTTGCACTAGTAACCTTATTTGATCACTCTACTTTGGAAATATGGCTAGGGTGGTTTGGAATTCCATCAATGAAAATCAGGCATGGGTTCATTAGAGGAAAAATGTTTTTCTCGCAGAAATGAAACGTTAATCTCTTGGGAACACTTGTTTCTTTTAATTAACTTAAATTCATATTTTCATCCAGAGTTAAGTGATACGTTCTCCTTCCTTTATTTCTCTCCAGCATTTCATTCTCTCACAGTCTTCCTTTTCATAAGGAAAAAAATTTAAATACATGTTATCACACTGGGGAAATCGGGAGATATGCTTAATAGCAGGTATGCTTGCACCCTTCCAGGCAGTGTGTGAATTTCTGTGAATACAAAGATAAGCAAAATCCAAACCCTGCTTCTTGAAAAGCTCACTATTTAGAGAAGTAGATATCTATAACCATTTTATACTCAGTGGGGTTAGTACTGACACTGAGTTTTAAATTAACTGTTGAAACAATTAAGACAAGTAAGTAAGGGAACAGTTAACTTTGCTGAGGATATATTCAAGGTGTCATAGAAATTAATTTGTAAATAGTGCATAAATATGAAAGGTGGTTTGCAATAGGACATATGTTGGCCCACTGCTGCTCAAGATTGGCCATTGCACTTGAGGTATGACTGATCTCAGTAGGAACCATCAGCTAGATGTTGTCAGGGACAGAAAGTAAAACACAAGTAGAAGCAGAATCTCAAAGAGGCTGTTGGCAACTCCAGCTTGGGCCAAGTGTCTGAATCAAGTCAATTGAGTCAGAGCTGGAACATTCCTGCAGTTGCATCTGGAAACAAAACATAAAAAGAGTAAGAACAAAGAAATATTGTTACATGGATGTCAGGACTACCGCAGGCAGATGGGTACCAACCATCCAACTGAGAAATAGCATAGCGTTTTTCCAAAACCTTTGTGACAGGAGGAGGATGGGACCAGATCACCTGTTTACTCAAGAGGCAAATCCTCTAAGAAGTCATCTGCAGCCCAGAACATCTGCTTCAGTGCAGAGAGGATCATAATGTCCTTTAAAGGGCCCATCTCCCTCTCTGAAGCATAATTTTCAACCACCAGTATTCTAGAAAGAGGAATGCCTAGTCTCCTGTTGACATTCTGTATCTGTGGAAAAAAGAATTTAATAAGTCATATCTAAAATTTGACTGAATTTAAATATAATTTAAGAAAGGAACAGTAAACACAATGGCTTAATATTATTTTCTGAATATAATTATAATTCAGATTATTATTTTAAAGTAGGGTATTAACTTCAATCAACCAGCCAATTGATCCATTTCTTCATTTACCTGTGAATATGCAGTGTGAGCATGCACACACACACACAAAATATAAAACTATTACAATTCTACTTAGTTGCGAAAAGTATTCTTTACCTGGCTTTGAGAAATCATAGCCTTATTCATCTTTAAGAAGTTGTCTTGAAGAACTTCATTGCAATTTTTCACTTTAGTACGTAATGCTACTTGTGCTACACCTGTATCAAGTAGATAAACGAGTTATTTTATATCATAAACAGCACTGTATCAACAAGGTAAGTAAATACGTGTGAAAATAGTACTCTGTAAGGTAAATTTAAGATCAGGAGAATGCAATATCCCCAAGAAATCTCAATATGGGACATGAAGTTCTTCTAATGGGAGAAATTATTTCTTCCAACATGAGAGACTATTTCTAAATGGAATTAAAATTATACTAACTTGTAATCAGCTACTATCCCATTCAAACAGTGTGTTTTAAATTGGTCAGGTGGGGAAAGTGGTTGCTGGATCTTGAAGACTAAAGAACCCCAAGAAAGAGAGAAAGCAAGGAGAGTTGTGTGAGAGCATTTGTGAATGTGAAGTACACTGATTTCACAGTTCTACTAAGGACCTTGCCTTTTCCCTAAAACCATAGAGATCAAAGTAAATAATAACTGGCTGTAACTGAATCAAAGGTCTACTTTACTAACAGCTATTTCCCCAAGAAGGACAAAGGGATATCTCTACACACCCCAAGGACATAAAAAGAAAGAGAAGATACTATGAACAAGTCTACATGCATAAATTTGACAACTTAGGTGAAATAGAATGAAATTATACACTACAAACTACACTACAGCTCATCTAATATGAAATAGATCATTTTAATAGCTCTAAAACTATTTTTAAATTGAAATTATGGTTTTAAAAACCCTGAAAAAGAAATCTCCAGGGCCAGATGGTTTCATTGGAGAATTCTACCAAACATTTAAAAAAAAAAAAACAACTCTACACAATCCGTTCCAGAAAATGAAAGAGGAAAGAGTACTTCCCAACTCATTTTATAACACCTATATTACCTGAGATTAAACTCTGACAAACACTACAGAAATTAAAAAAACAAAACAAAACTACAGATCAATATCCCTCATAAATATAGATGCCAAATTTCTTAATAAAATATTATCAACTAGGATTCAGCAATATATAGAAGGAATTATGTACCATGAACACATGAGTTTTGTGTTATGGAGACAAAGTTGGCTCAAGATTCAAAGTCAATCAATATGATCCATGATATAAACAGACTACAGAAGGAAACAATTCCCATGATCATATCAATCTATAGAGAAAAACCATTTGGCAAAATTCAATAGCCATTCATGCTTTAAAAAAAAATTATCAGAGAAGTTGGAATAGAGAAGAACTTCTTCAACTTAATAAAGAACAGCTATTAAAAACTATAATGACATTAATTGACATTAAAATGGTGAAACATTGAATCTCTTCTCCTAAGTTCCGAAACAAAACAAGGGTATTTGTTCTCATCACTATTCAACTGAAAATACTAGCCAGGATGGTAAGATAAGTAAAAATAAATAAAACAAATACAAGTTAAGAAAGAAGAAATAAAATTGTCCCCATCTGAGATGACATGAAATCCTAAGAATTTAATGAAATAATCTTCCTAGAACTAATAATCAACATCCCATTAGGACTTTTTTTGTAAAAATGCACAAAGTAACTCTAAAATTCCTGCAGAAATGTAAAGGAACTAGAATAGATAAAATAATTTTGACAAGTAAGAATAAAGTTGAAGGAATTATTTTACCCACTTTAAGACCTATAGTTTTTATTATTATATAACCACAGTGATAAAGACTGTGTGATGTTGGTAGAGGAATGAACATATAGATCAAGGGAACAGAATAGAGACCCAGAAATAGATGCACAGAAGTAAGGACAATGGATTTTTTATAATGGTACAAAAGCAATAAAATTGAGAAATGACAGTTTTTTCAACAAATGGTCCTGGAGCAACTGAATATCCATAGGCAAAAATAAAATAAACCTTGACCTACATTTCACATCCTACACAAAAAGTGACTCAAAACTCATTACATATTTAAATGTAAAATGTAAGACTATAAAACTTTTAGAAGAAAACAGAAAAAAAAAACGAGACTTAAAGCTTGGTGAAGGATTTTAGACACAAAATGAAAAGAATGATCCTTAAAAGAAAAAATTGACAAATAGGATTTCACCAAAATTTTTAATAATGTGTTTGTGAAACGCTCTACTAAGATACTGAAAAGGCAACTGAGCACTGGGAGAAGCTATCTGCAAACCATATATCTGACGACTGAATCATATCTAGGATTTATGGATCTTTTAAAACTCAACAGTAAAAAAAAAACCAAAGTGTACAAATAGAAAATAGGTCAAAGACATGAAAAGACATGAAGAGATCCTTTACTGAAGAAGGCATATACAAGTAAATAAGCAATTAAAAGGTGGTCAATTTAATTCATCATTGAAGTGAAGTAGCTCAGCCATGTCCTGCTCTTTGCGACCCCATGGACTGTAGCCGGCCAGGCTCCTCCATCCACGGGATTTTCCAGGCAAGAATACTGGAGTGGGTTGCTATTTCCTTCTCCAGGGGATCTTCCTGACCCAGTGATTGAACCCAGGTCTCCTGCATTGCAGCAGACTCTTTACCAGCTGAACCATCATTCAGTTCAGTTCAGTTCAGTTCAGTTCAGTCGCTCAGTCGTGTCCGACTCTTTGCAACCCCATGAACTGCAGCACGTCAGGCCTCCCTGTCCATCACCAACTCCCGGAGTTTACTCAAACTCATGCCCATCAAGTCGGTGGTGCCGTCCAGCCATCTCATCCTCTGTCGACCCCTTCTCCTCCTGCCCCCAATCCCTTCTGCCCCCAATCCCTCCCAGCATCAGGGTCTTTTCCAATGAGTCAGCTCTTTGCGTGAGCCACCATTAGGGCAATGCAAATTAAGACCGTGGCAAACTATCACTATATACCTACTAGAAGAGTTAAATTTTTTTTTAAAAAAGCAATAATGACAAATACTAGCAAGCATCCAGAGAATCTAGATCTCTCATATATTGTAAAATTATAAAATGTGCAGTAATCCTTAATAGAGGTTTGGCGTTTTCTTGAAAAAATTAAACACAGAGTTAGCATAGGACCCAGCAATCACACTTTGGGGGAATGATCCCAGAAGAAATAAAACTTACACCCACACAAAAACCTGCACACTAATATTCAAAGGAGCTTTATGTGCAAGAGCCAAAATACAGAAGTAATCAAAAAGTCCTTTGATAAAGAATGGTTAAAACAACTATGGAATATCTATACCATGAATTACTACTCAGCAATAAACAGCAATGAACAACTGATATACATAACAACTTTTATGGAATTCAAAGGATATTAGACTGAGTGAAGAAAGCCAGCCTCAAATCAGACATACTGTTGAGATTCTAGTTGTATAACATTCTCAAAATTTATGGAGATGAAGAGAAGATTAATCGCTGTCAAAAATTAAGGATGGTGAGGATTGGAAGGCACCATGACAAAAACTTTTATGGCGATGGAATAGTTCTGTATGTAGTGGTAGTTACTCGAATCTACACATGTAACAAAATAACAGAGCTATAACACACATTATGAGTGTTGTATCTCCTGGTTTTAATCTTTCTGGTCTAGTCACGTAATATGAGGAGGTAACTCCTCTATCTAGCCATAGGAAAATCACACATGATGAAAAAATTATAGCCATTCTAGTCTTTAAGGATTTCAGTAAAGCCTTTGAATGATCTATCTGCTATTGCCACCAACCAAACCGGGACTCTAAAAATTGGAAGAAGGGGACATGGGACCTTGGTGTATTCTTTTTGCAATTTTCTGTGAATGTGTCTTTATTTTAAAGTAAAAATGTTTTGATGAATACAATGAAACTCACCGCAGTTTATTACTTCTTTTTGAATTTGCTTGAACTTTGCCATCATTTTAGAGGAGAGATTGTCCATAGAGTTGATATCAAAGACAAAAGCTACACAGTGAATCCTGTCTTTCAGTGATGGAGAGGTGATGAAAGTAGGATGCTTGGGTGTAATTGGTTTATGGGGACTAAACTGTTATAGAAATATAAGGTAACATTAGAGAGTCTCTGATGAATTCTTTCAGATACAATTCATGTTTCAAGCATGATCTCCACTAACCTCCAACACAAAACTTCCCTTCTCCCAGATACTCCTGCCCCAGATTAGTTCATAGCATTCTCTCATACTTCCTATCCACTGTTAGCATGGTATCGTTATATAAAAAAAAATACAACCCACTTCATTGCTTTGGCAAAAAAAATTGTAATTACAACTTAATTAATTATTAGTGGAAATATTCCAGAAAAGTACAATGTTATTTGTTATTTTAAAAAGCAATTTCAAATCTCAGTCTCTTCAAATCTCAAAGCACAATTGAGGAAAAGGAAATCACTGCTTAGAAATTGAGGCTAATTTTATTGCACCCAATATCTGAAAGAAAGGTGACAATAATGGTTACCTTTCTGAGAACTTAGAGTTTATCTTTTCATTTAATCTACTTAGCCACCTATGAGATCAGCATTATTATTATCTACATTTCACACATAAAAAAAACAAAACTCACAGAGACAAGGATGTAACTTACTTATGGGTACACATCTAATTGGTGGCAGAGCCAGCCTTTGAAATCAGGTATTTAGGCTGTATTAAGTAGTGAAGCCTGCTCACCTTCAGTATAACATCACATATCAACAAAGAGTAGTTGTTTCAATATTTTGTCTAAGTGATTATAAAAGTGCAAGAGATTATATTACTCCTTTCCTATTATTTAGAATCATTGCAAAGAGTAATATAAACACAGTTCCTCCTGACCTTTTCCTGGAAGCTATATGAGTAAAATCTTGCCTTTTGGTTATATTTCTTAATGCTGTAGAAAATAAGAGAAGTTATCTGCTTTCTCTACATAAATATTTTTTAATTTAAAATACAGTAATGTTGGTTGGTGTTGAAACCACTTTATAAAAATTTAAAATGCATGTGATAAAACATCAATGAAAAGCATTGCTGAAAATGATTTGAAATGTTCTACACTCTGAAGGATTCTTACCTTATATCTGTCTGGCACACACCCTTTTAAGATGTGGGGTATGTCATCCACACATAAGCCTACTCCCTCATTCTCATCCAGCTCCATGGAGTCACACAACATAAATGGCAGAGATTGGCCATTTTTTCCATCTTTAATAGAATATATCCTATACTGTAAAACAAAACACAGTAATATAAAAGTTCACTCTTCAACTAGCCTTTAAGATGTAACAATAAGAAGAAAAACTCATTAATACTTTTACTGTGGTCCTCAAACATTTTGGTTTCAAGATCAACTCAGTTTCTTAAAAATTATTGAGGGATCCCAAAGATATTTTACTCATATGGGTCTTGTCTATTTATGTGCAACATACTAGAAATTAAAACAAAAATTTTTAATATTTCTTTAATTATTTAAAAATATAATATGAACCTGTTATATATTAATCTAACAATTTTAGAAAAAAACTATTTGCAAAAAATTATAGAAAAGAGTGGGATTGATTTGCCTTTTGCAATTCTCTTTAATGTCTGAATCAATAGAAAACAGCAAGATTCTCATAGTTGCCTCTGCATTCAATCTGTTGTGATATATTGTTTTGGTTGAAGTATATGAAAAAATCTGACCTCACACATACAGGTAGTAGGCAAGGAGGGAGTATTTAACTTAACAGCTTTTAGAGAATTATGGACATTGCTCATTAATAATACATCAAAGCTGAACAAGTGATAAATCCATAAAGATTACCTGCAATGTGAAATCTGTGATGCTTTCAAACTATGACATTAAGTTTGTTGATCTATTTTACACTTTGAATATACTTTTTATCCATCCATGATTTTGTAACCTGATGCATTGGTCATTTGAAAGTATTGGTTCACTGGCTTATCTGGATCTTCCAAATATTGGCACATTTCATTTTACAATATTAAAATATCATATTTGTTAATGCCATCATTAATCTCATTAGATAAGTCTTTAAGTTCTTCAGTTTTCAAGCTCAAAGTAGTGGATACAAGCTTCCTCATGTTCTTTTTCTTAAAAGCTCAAATGTTATCTCTGACAACAAACACTATGGGTTGTTATCCTTGAAGTGATACCCTCATTTCGTGCATTTTTCCCCAAAATGTCTACCAAATATCCAAGTATAAATAAGGAAGTCTTTCAGTTGTCTTTTCAATCATATAGGATGTTCCATGAGAAAATTTCAGCTTACAAACACTATATTTTGACATGCATTAGGAGCACTTTGCATGCAGAATCTGCCTGCAGTGCAGGAGACCTGGGTTTGATCCCTGGGTCGGGAAGATCCTCTGGAGGAGGTCACGGCAACCCACTCCAGCATTCTTGCCTGAAGAATCCAATGGACAGAGGAACCCAGCGGGCTCTAGTCTATGGGGTCACAAAGAGTGGGATACAACTGAGCCACTAACACTTTCGCTTTCACTTTCAGGAGCACTTTATATGCACGTCCCATTTTGTCACACATTTTAAAATGATGTGCATTCAAAAGTTGAGCTTAAATAAAATCAATAACCTTTACAGATTCATCAAGAAAATTCTTAAATGAAACTGGTGTTTTGGTTTTTTTTTATAGCAAGCTCAGTGGTAGGGATGATTACAGTGACTGTGGAGGGTTTGCTGCCATTGCTTGATTCATGCTAAGATGCCAACAGATAAAATTATATTTGTTTGATCAGTTCAAGTGTTAATACACTAGAAACAGCAAAAATATATATTAGTATTTTTAAAAGAGTCTTCAGCTCATGCTGCTGCTGCTAAGTTGCTTCAGTCATGTCTGACTCTGTGCAACCCCATAGACAGCAGCCCACCAGGCTCTGCCGTCCCTGGGATTCTCCAGCTCATAGATCCCTTAAAAGCATTTCAAAGACTCTCATGGGATCAACACACCTCACTTTAAGAAGCACTAGTTTAACAAAGGGGCTTTCCTGGTAGCTCAGCTAGTAAAGAATCTGCCTGCAATGCAGGAGACCTGGGTTCAATCCCTGGGTTGGGAAGATCCCTTGGAGAAGGAAAAGACTACCTACTCCAGTATTCTGGCCTGGAGAATCCCATGGACAGTCCATGAGGTCACAAAGAGTCAGAAACAACTGAGGAACTTTCACTTTAACTTTTCACTTTAACAAAGCTTCTTTTCTAGACACACTCCATCTGATCCCAAGATTATTTTTTTAGGATAACTCTGAAAAAATTTCATTTATTGGTCAAATACACTTTCAGCATAGACTCAACTATGGAAGATTTGGGAAGAATCACAAAGAAAAGGGCTTCTCAGAGACACCAGACGATACTCAGTTCTTTCAGCCCAAACCAGGAAGTAGAGAATTCCTCTGTAACCTATTGTCATTTGTGATGGAGTCAAAGCACCCATGGCTTCATAAAAATGCCTAGAGCAATTCTACTGGAGATTTTAATCTAAGTGAATGGGGTTTATTGGTACCTCAACATGAAAGAAATTACATGGAGCATTAGAGTTAGATAATATTCAATACATTGTAAAATTTCAAGATCAATAGGCAACATTCATATTTCCGATAACCATTAACCTGTTTCGTTTACAGCTTCAATTCTTCAGAAAGAAGGGTCTCTGAGCAATAAAGTATTCCATTTCCTTCACAAATACGCTGTCCTGTTTTCCTTTAATGTATATAGTATTTGCATTCTATTTGGAGTTCAGGATCTAATACATCTTCCCTTAAAGCAGCAAGTCTTTGGAGTTTTCAACATAAAAGAAGACCGAAATTCTGTCCTGATGAGTACCACTATTATAGCATGTCTCACACTGAAGAGTATTTACTTGATTATTATCTACATTGGTCTCTGAGCTCCCTGATTAAAGGGGCTGTAGTGTTATTTGCATTTAGGTCTCTATTACAACACAATATTTAGCAAATAAAAACATTTCAATCAATGCTTAATGTACTGAATTGCTGTTGCAGTATCTTGCTCCTGAGGCTAGGCCCATATATCATAGTAAAGCCACTGAAGTGGATAGAGAACAGCCAACATCCAGAAATAAGATGTGATTCCTAAAAGTCTTAGAAAATGCTTTCAGTTATTAAATATGACATAAAACTAAAATCAGCTATAACTGTCTTATGCTAAATTTTGCATTGACAATGTACAACATATTCTCTATCACAAGGTAACAATATTGGACTTTAGCAATCAGAAAAACACAGCTTGATTTTGACATTTTCTATTAATTCCCTTTATTCTTTTTGTTTGATTACATAATATTGACAAGCATAGAATGGAAGTTTCTAGATAAATATTGCACTGTAAATTGAAGATCTTTAGCATAACAGTTTTAAAAATGGTATTAGCACTTATCTCCTTAAATATATTTATTTACAAATAAGACAGTCTTTATAGGAGCATTGGTAAACTGATTTACCCCATGAAGGTTTTGCTTCTCATGATCATTTTCTATTAAATGATCTCATATAATGCAAAAGTGTTGCAATACATAATTTTCATTATTTTATTACAAAAAAAGAGAAAATAATTTCAATCCAAGGCAAAACCATGTGGGACATGAGTAAATATATATATATCAAATAAAATGGACAAAGATTTCTACAAAGTTTTTTTTATTATATTTTACTTATTTATTATTTATTTATTATTTATTTATTATTTATTTATTTATTTTATTATTTTTTGCAAATACCAAAAAGCATTCTTCTTAAAACTGCTTATATCCATAAAAATGGAAAGCTTCTCTGTCTAATATAACTCATGGGGGCAGTTCTGATTCCATTTTTATTCCTGTTTTACATTTGATTTAGCATTTAATTGTTCACAAATTAGGAGGTTAAGCTATCAAGAGAAAATGCCAAAGAAATTAACAAACCTCATAATTGTAACCTATAAAACAAAATCCTCAAGAAATTCTGAAATAACTTACCTGTTCAGTAATGCTGGTGCCATCAGATCCCACTATGGCTTGGCGAGTCAAATGGCCTTGGAAAATGGACTTCACTGAATTGAAAAAACTGGACTTTCCAAACCCAACTGGACCCAGCAAGAGAACACGGATTTCTGAAACCAAGTCTGCATAGGGACTGTAGGCTCTGACGTCTGCTAGGAGACTATTCTGTGCCTGGAAAACTGCAGTAGCTAAATACAACAGCCAAACTTCCATAAGGAACAATATAATTCTGCTGAGCTTTTCTTCCTGCTAAAAAGCATGTTTTAACATTTATTTATTATTCTGATATTAGCATTTTCTTTCATATAACTTGAAAGGGTCTAAGGTTATACATTCTGTGCTTGAAGAAAATGTACTTATCTATATCTGACTAAGTTAAACTAACCAGCAACCAAATCATTTCTAAACTATTAGCCTTAGACCCCATAAGAATAATAAGAAATAATATCAACACTGAAAGTGAATTTTCAGTAACAATGTTACATTAAGGGGAAACAAAAATAAAATATATGCAATGCAGGTGTTTATCTATAAAGTGGGGAGAGGAGACTTTGTTTTTAAAATTTTCTGAGGTTCTCTGAAAACTTGATTCTCAAAACAAGGATTCAGAGGAATTATCTAAAATAGTCATCTCAACTCTAACTTTGAATCTAATAGGACCATAGTGAAACATGAAGTCAAACTGCCATGAGGTGGATCTTAAAAATTCCAGCTGGTAGTGGTTTTGTTTTTGTTGCTGTTCTAAATTGTCTTCAACACACTAAGTCAGGGCCACTGATTTTTATCACTCCAAGTAACATGGTTTTTAATCTCACCGTCAGTGCCATTTATACAGTTGATCTAAATGAAATGAGTGACAGATAGTCCAAGAAACTACTTACTCTGTGGCTCTTGTTATCCTGTTTATGTAGCCTGTCTCATTCTTAATTCCTAAAGGAAATAAACATGGCATAACAATTTTTAAGCTTGTCTGATTAAATGTGACCAAGTCTAAATTCTAAATAGGGCATTGAGTCTTTTTGCATAACCCAGCTGAGCTGTTTGGTCAGGAATTAGGGTTGGCAGCATAATGAGATTAAGAGGAGCTAAAAGTGTCTTCTTTGTATAAGTCACTCTGCAAACTCATATAATTATGCCTAGGAGTCCCAGGGCTGACTCAAAAGGTGTCAGTGTCAAAATAATGAGTCTTCTCTCTCCGGCTCCATCTCTTCACTCATACTTCTCAACTTACTTTGATCAAAGCTGCCTATACTTTCTGGGTGATAACCCCATAACCTTTATGCTTCCATTTTTCATTTTGGAGGTTATTAAAAAATTTGTGGTATGATATTCACTTGTCTTTTTTTTCTTGTTCTTGTAGATTAATTGTGAGCTACCAAACACAAAGACTAGAATTAGAACATAGTAGTGTACAAATTAACATACGTTCAACTCGAAAAACTTCACATTCTAAATATGGGGAGTCTGAGTCAGATTTTGCTCTTAATTTTTCCTTTAAAAATCTAGGTATATTAATGCATCTGTTGCTGAAATTTAGAGATAAATACTTATTGTAATAACTAGAGAAATTAACTATCAGGCTCTTAAAATTACTTGTCACTGTTGAATTTAAAAATACAGATTTCATTTCCATTGTTTCATCCTTTTGAAGTGAAAAAAAAGAAGGATGCATTTGGTTCTATAAAACTTTTAGACATTTCAGAACCATGCCAAGCATAAAGATACCAAAAATATTGTCGGAATGATAAATCACTGTTATAGTGGATCCTTGACATCTGCACCTATTCTGCATTTCTGCAATGTCATTTCCATGGACACTAGACTTATAAAGAAGTCTCAAAGAAACATTTCCAAGCAGCTTTTGAAAACTTCTTTCCTCATTCCATGTCAATCGGGTTGTCGCTGCCATTGTTCTGTATCTAGTAGGAAAAAAAATTTAATAGTTTCAGAGAGCAGTTCAGTATTGTGATTTCTGCTATACTAGTTTCAGTGATTCTTTATTCATTGACCCAATTAAAGCAGTTATTTGGATTTGGAGTGTTAAGAACTATATACACAAACATATGTATATACATATACATATATATTATATATTTTAATATATATAACATTAATGGGTAGATATGAAAAATAGATAATTTAGACACTTAAATATCATTAATTTTTTTAAATCATTAGGAAAAACAAACTAAAGACTGGGTTTTAAAAGTAGAGAAAAATTAATGAATTAGAGCAGAGACCGTCACAATTTTTCTTAGTCACACATAGTAAAAATTTTAGGATTTGTGGATAATATGGTTTCTACCAAGTTACTAAACTTTGCCAGCATAAGGCAAAAATAGCCATAAACAAAGCTCATGACAGGGTTCAAATAGAAACCTTTTTACAAAAATAGATGGCTGGAATGAGGGCATATTTTACCAATCCATGAATTTGATGATAGAAGTGAGAAATTAACTCAGAAAACAGTGCACAAAGAAAGAAATTGAAACATGAGAGGATTTAATAGGTAGGAAAGTCCATGATGGCTAGAACATTAGCCATCATGCCAATCCTTTCAATAAGAACAATTAAAAACAAGGATAACTGTGATATAGATATATTTGAAAGCATTGGAGAGAAAACAAAGCAGTAAAGAATTATGTTATTGGCTAAGATTTGGAAAAGAAGTGAATACAGAGAGGTAAACTTGGCATTAGTGCATCTGTCAAATTAAGAAGATGCTAAGAAATTCTTTAAACCAGGCTTAAATAGTACATGAACCATGAACTTCCAGATGTTCAAGCTGGATTTAGAAAAGGCAGAGGAACCAGAGATCAAATTGCCAACATCTGCTGGATCATCAAAAAAGCAAGAAAGTTCCAGAAAACATCTACTTCTGCTTTATTGACTGTGCCAAAGCCTTTGACTGTGTGGATCACAACAAACTGTGGAAAATTCTTAAAGAGGTGGGAATACCAGACCATCTTACTTGCCTTATGGCAGAAAGCAAAGAAGAACTAAAGAGCCTCTTGATGAAAGTGAAAGAGGAGAGTGAAAAAGTTGGCTTAAAATTCTCAGTTCAGAAAACAAAGATCATGGCATCTTGTCCATCACTTGGTAAATAGATGGGGAAACAATGGAAACAGTGAGAGACTTTATTTTTTGAGCTCCAAAATCACTGCAGATGGTGAATACAGTCATGAAATTAAAAGATGCTGCTCCTTGAAAGAAAAGCTATGACCAACCTAGACAGCATATTAAAAAGCAGACATATGACTTTGCAACAAATGTCTGTCTAGTCAAAGTTATGGTTTTTCCAGTAGTCTTGCATGGATGTGAGAGTTGGACTATAAAGAAAGCTGAGCATCGAAGAATAGATGTTTCTGAACTGTGGTGTTGGAGAAGACTCTTGAGAGTCCCTTGGACTTCAGGAACTTCAAACCAGTCAATCCTAAAGTAAATCAGTCCTGAATATTCCTTGGAAGGACTGATGCTGAAGCTGAAACTCCAATACTTTGGCCACCGGATGGGAAGAGCTGACTCTTTGGAAAAGATCCCAATGCTGGGAAAGATTGAAGGCAGGAGGAGAAGAGAACGACAGAGGATGAGATGGTTAGACAGCATCACCAACTTGATGTACATGAGTTTGAGCAAGCTCCAGGAGTTGGTGATGGACATGGAAGCCTGGCATGCTGCAGTCCCTGGGGTCACAACGAGTCAGACACAACTGAGCAACTGAACTGAACTGAACAAGGAAGAAGCACCAGTGGACTGAAACAGACTTAATTCCATCTCTAGTCTTCTCAATCGAATCTATAATAGGATTGAGACAAATGAGAATTGCCAGTGTCTATAGCTATATAGGACAGATGCAAAATAAATTTTGTCTGATTGAAGAGAACATTTTCTTAACTTTAAATGTGGTCTACATTTTCTTGATATTCATGTCTCACACTCATCATAAACACAGGAGAGCAGATAAAACAACATGATAGAAAACCAGGAGAAAAAACAGAACATAGAAACAAATTCACACTGATAACTGAGTTACCCACAGTGATTTTTAAAAAACTAAGCTTTGTGTGGGCTTCCCTGGTGGCTCATTGGTAAAGAATCCGTCTGCAATGCAAGAGCTGCAGGAGAGGTGGGTTCGATCCCAGGGCCAAGATGATCCCCTGGAGGAGGGCATGGCAGTCCACCCCAGTCTTCTTACTGGAGAATCCCATGGACAGAGGAACCTGGCAGGTTATAGTCCATAGGGTCAAAAACAGTCAGACATGCCTGAAGCGACTTAGCATGCAAGCTTGGTGTATTCAAATAAGTAAAAGATAAGATTAAATGGCTAACAAAAAATATAGTGGGGTGGGAATTGGAGGGAATTCTAGATTTAAAAAATAAATATCTGAAATTTTAAAATTGCAAAATAAATTTAATTAAAGGTTATACACACTTGAAAGGAAGAATTAGTTGGAAGAAGCTATATCAAATGAAAAATTCAGACGAAGAGAAGGAAGAAGAACAAAGGACCAAAGACAGTAGAGAGTATAGCAAAATGAGCGGATATCTATGCAACTAAAGTCTAAGAATGAGAGAAAGAAAGAACATGGCAGATATCAAAGTAGTCACACAAAGCTCAAAAACCAAGCAAGTCTCAAAACATTTCAAACATAAAATAGATTCCCTAATACATGAGAAAATAAAGAAATCTCTTGTTAAAGAGTCTGCCCACAGTGCAAGAGACCCGGGTTCAATCCCTGGGTCGAGAAGATCCCCTGGAGAAGGAATAGCAACCCACTCCAGTATTCTTGCCTGGAAAATCCCATGGACTGAGGAGCCTGGCAGGCTATAGTCTATGGGGTCACAAAGAATCAGACACAACTGAGTGACTTCACTCAGTACTAGCAAGTCCATTGATCAAATAAGAAAACTCAATAAGATCTGGAAAATTGAATAAATGATAATTATTGTCAAAACTTGTGAAATGAAGCTAAAACATGCTGTAAAAAAGTCTATAATTAAATATATGTACTAGAAAAGAAGAAAAGCTAAAAATGAATAATATAAAATTCAGCTTCACAAGTCAGGGGAAAATTGCCAGTTACATACACACAAAAAGAAATTAAGTATTAAAAGTAAAAGCCAAACTTAATAAAACAAAAATAAATATACAAAGAGAAGATGAACAGATGTTAGTTTGAAATGAACTAACTAACCAATGTTAACTAACCAATGTTTTCAAAAAGTATAAATAATAAAGTTGCTAAGACATTGCTGATATTGATAAACAGATGTTTATCAATCTAAAATTGATAATAAAATAATTGCCAATTATCAATTGATAATTCATCAATTATTAGCTGATTAAAAACTGATGATTATCAATCTAAAATTATTAATCTAGTTTGAAACTAACTAACCAATGTTAACTAACTAACCAATGTTAGTTTTCAAAAAGTATAAATAATAAAGTTGGTAAAACATTGCTGATATTGATAAACAGATGCTAGTTTGAAACTAACTAACTAACCAATGTTAACTAACTAACTAACCAATGTTAGTTTTCAAAAAGTATAAATAATAAAGTTGGTAAAACATTGCTGATATTAATAAACAAAAGATGGTTGGGGGGAGGGACAATGTACCAAAATCAAGAACAAAGACAAGAATATCAGTACATATGTTACAAACAATAAAAATATTTTTTAAGCTGAACAATTTTTTAAAAAATAAATTTGAAAACAAATTTATTTTTTCAAATTTGAAGGCAAATTTGAAATGGGCCAATTCTGAAAAAAACTTACCAAAACTGACATGAAAATAAATAGAAAAAAATGAATAGTCCCATAGCTATTCTTAAAAACAAAACTCACCATTAAAGACTTCCCACAAGTAAACTGCAAAGATAAGTGGGTCCAATAACTAAACTAAATTTTGAGTGATAAACATTAGAATCTTAAAAAAACACTTCAAGAGAATAGAGACCAACACATTACAATGGTATTGCAAGCAGGAACACTGCAAGCTAGTCCCACTCCTAAATACAGGTGTGATATTGTAAGCCAATCATCAAGCAATTAAAAATAAATAAATATTTTTTTTAAATCTTCAGCAAAATATTAACAAGCCTAAAGAAAAAAAGGAAGTGGATTTTTAAAATTTATTCACAAAAGCAGCAAATAAAATAATGTACCTGGGAGCAAATTTTTTTAAAGATACAAACAACTTCTGTAGAGATAATTACAAGAAGAATGTTATAAAGGACATGAAAAATGACCCAAATAAATGAAGACCTATGCAATTTTCTTAGATGACAAAAGCCTTCTTAAAAATTATGTCAATTCCTCCAAAATGTATCTTTCAATTCAGCGCAAGGGTGATCAAAAGCCCAAGAACATTCTTTTGATTGAATGTAAGAAGATAATCTGAAAGTTCCCATGATATCTCAAGGAGCAAAGAATAGCCAAGAGAGTTTTTAAAGATGAGCAAGTTAAGAATTATATAAAATTACAATAATTAGGAAAATGTGACCGTGGCATTAAGATAGTCAAGAGCCCTGAGACTGACCCACTTTCATAGCTGGGGTACCCTGGAAAACAAAGCTGAATGACAAGTTTACATGTGGAGACTTTACTGCTGGGTACAATTTCAAATAAATAAACATGAGATAAAGCAGAAAGTGAAATTGATAACAACTTAAACCAAATACAAACTTGACACAACCAATTACCCAACTTGGAGGGCAGGTAATAGCTCTACAGGAAAAAAAAATTTAATTAAGTTATATCATCCTCATAATCTCATAACATTCTCAAAAGTAAATTCCAGTTGATATGAAGTACTAAATATGAAAAAATTTTAGAAGGAAGAACTAGAGATTGTCATTACAATCTTTGCATTTCTAAAATAAGATACCAATAGTACAAACTATAAAGGAAAGAAAAATAAATTTAACTACATTAAAACTTAAAATATTTTATAATAAAAGGTACAACAAATGCAACCTTAAAACATCATATATCTTACAAATATTATCCCACCTATGAACAATAAAGAAACCACAAACAACCTAATAGAAAAGCTGTCAAAGTATATGAACAAGAAATTCACAAGTGGAAGTAAATTAAATGGATTATAAACATATGAAAAAATGTTCAACAGTTCTAGTGACAAGAAACTGTAAATTAAACAACAATGGGATATCATTTCATATCAAACAAAAGTTCAGTGAAAGAGATGACCAGGATATAGAAACTCAGAAATATTTACATTGTCCTGATGGGCATGCATCATTTTGGAAACAATGTGCATAGCATCATTGTTTATGGTGATGTTAGAAGATTGGATATACAAATTTTGGCATATTCATAAAAGGAAATACCAAAGAGCATTGAAGTAACTGAATTAGACCTATTTGTCTCAATTAGGATAAATCTCAAAGAATTCATATTGACTGGAAAGAAACAAATGGAGAATGAGAATCTTAGCATGATACCATAAATAAACTGTTAATTTACAAAGCAATACCAGAGGTCATTTAAATAGACATATATATACAATACTGTCTCAGAAAATAAATAAATAAATAAATAAATACACACATATATACAGTAAAAGAGCATAAAAACAAGCATGACAATAATTTATGACAAAGTCTGGGTACAATTTCTCTCTAGGAAGTAAGGGAACTGAAGAAAATATAAGAGAGACTCATCAATAATTTCAGTGAGATCTGTTTTCTCCTGAAGTTGTCAAGAAAAAAGTTATTCTTATTAATAAAGCAAATTACTTAAAAAACCTGAACTGTATAAGATTACAATAGTTTATGTATTCTCTGTATTCCCTGTATTTGAAATTTTCATTAAAAAACAAAACCAACAAAAGAGAAAAGCATGATCTTACTAGCGATTTCACTTGAAACTCTTCTTCAAAGAAAGAAAAACAGGCAAATTTCTTTGCCCACAGCTAAGAAACATTCAATGGCAGCAAGATTTTACCAGCTTTTCAGAATGGGACAAGGATTAATGGAGTGTTAAGTGCTCTGTCACACTTATGGACTAGCCAGAGTTTGGAGACTAAAGGTTCTGTTGAGATCAGTGGCTTCCTGTTCTAAGAAAGGAAAGTGAAACTCCAAGCAGCAAAGGAGCAGGAAACAGCAAGGTAACTGCTGTTAAGTTTCTTTTTCCCTAGAGAAAAAAGAGAACAAGAAAAAAGAAAGAGGGATCTGCTCAGCACAAGAAAAAGGTGCAAAGATGTTTGGTCCCTCAGTAGCCCACATCTAAGCATGCATGAAATGAAATTATTAATAAGAAATTACAATAAAACTAATAGTTTAATTTTTTTTTTTTTTTTTTTTTTGTCCATTTAACTATTTGGCACTGATCTATGGGACTACATACATTTTCCTAGTTTCTTCAATCTTATACAGTAAACTTTACTAGCATCCATATTTCGCAAAGTATGAAAATGAAACTTAATGACATTCAGAGACTTCGCCCAAAGTGATTGAACTGGTAAGAGCAGTGCAGTCAGCTGGTATTCAAAACCCAGACTCTCTGCACTGGAACAAAGAGATTACGATTTGGCTTTTCCTGAATGCCTATGTAAGGCAGTGAGCAGCCTCTTTTCCCATTTACCAGTTCATTCATTCAGCATGGGCTTAGATCCTGGAGAGCAAAATGCTGAGTAAGATAAAACCTCCGGATAATGGTGGCCTCACGCTTCTAGTCGTAAGTGAAGTGAAGCTAAGTCGCTCAGTCGTATCCAACTCTGCGACCCTGTGGACTGTAGCCTACCAGGCTCCTCCATCCATGGGACTCTCCAGGCAAAAATACTAAAGTGGGTTGCCATTTCCTTCTCCACGGGATACTCCCGACCCAGGGATTGAACCCCGGTCTCCCGCATTGCAGACAGACGCTTTACCCTCTGAGCCACCAAGGAAGCCCTACTAGTCTTAGAGGGCTAGTAAAATACTTGCTAAAAGATCGAAGTTTACATTGAGACAGGAATTACAAGGAAGAAGTGAAGCAACAGAGAGCGCAGTGTAATGAGACCTCCAATTATTTTAGTCTGTCTGGGATGGAGTGACGTCAGATTGGCAGGCAACAAGGCTAGGGAGGTGATCAGGGTTTTAAAGTGTTAGTCGCTCAGTAGGGGCTAACTCTTTGCAACCCCATGGACTGTAGTCAGCCAGGCTCCTCTGTCCACTGACTTCTCCAGGCAAGAGTACTGGAGTGGGTAGCCATGCCCTTCTCCAGGGGATCTTCCCAACCCAGGGACTGAACCCAGGTCTCCTGCATTGCAGGCAAACTCTCTACCATCTGAACCACCAGGGAAGCACGGGACTCTAAAAAGTCTTATTTAACTTGAATTTTTTTCAGAAAGACAACATTCACACTCTGAAAGCAGGAGGTGGCACAATCAAAACTGAATGTCTTAGAAACAAAAGTTCTTCTGTTGTCTCTTGCTTTGTAACAAATACCATAAACCTGGAGGCTTTGAAACAACTCACATTTATTATCATAGAGTTTCCATGGATCAGGAGACCAGCATGGCTCAACTGGATTCTCTCCTCAGGGTCTCTCACTAAGGTGCTGGCCAGCGTTGGTCCCCTCTTCCTCTGGAAAAGCTCTTTCAGGTAATGGCAGAATTCAGTTCTGAGAAAGTGTAACACTCAGGTCCCCTATTCTTTGCCAGTCTGAGGCCACTCTCAGCTCCAAAAGGTGGCTCCCAGTTTCTTGCCAATGGTCTCCTCACTCATCAGGGGCATACATGACATGGTGGTAACAGAATCCTCCAGGCCAGCAGCAGAATCTCTCTCTTGTCAAATCTTCAGAGAAAGCCCCTTTCTTTTAAGGGTTTACCTGATTGTATGGAGCACACCCATTGAAGATAATCTCTGTTTTAAAGCCAAGAAATTAATCATGGAAGTGACAGTCCATCATTTTCAGATCTCTCTTGCACTCAAAGGGAGTCAGTTACACAATGACATAGGTCAGAGGGGGCCAGCATAGATTTCTATCACAAAGAATAAGACTAAGACAAAACTGACCACTTTTTTGCCTTTTCTTTCTTTCTTTTTTTTTTTTTTAATATTTATTTGGTTATACCAGGGTTTAGTTTCAGCACACAGGATCTTCTGTCTTTGTTGTGGGATTTAGGATCTGTAGTTACAGCACGTGATCTCTTAGTTACAGTATATAGGATCTAGTTAACTGACCAGGGATTGAACCCAAACATCCTGCATTGAGAGTGGGGAGTCAGCCGCTGGACCACCAGGGAAGTCCCTCCATTCATTTATTTATTTATTCAATCATCTATCTGTTAATCTGTTGTTTGTTTGTTTGTTTTAAGTGTAACTGACTTAAAATACTATGTTAGTTTCACTACATAGTGATTCACTATTTTTGCAGATTATAGTCCGTTATAGATTATTACAAGATAAAGGGTATAATTCCTTGTGCTATACAGTAAATCCTTGTTGTGCATATATTTTATGTATAGCAGTTTGTATCCATTAATCCCTAACTCTACTTTGTCCACCTTCCCTTCCCTCTCCTCTCTGGTACCACAAACTTGTTTTCTACGTCTGTGAGTCTGTTTCTGTTTTGTATATAGTTTTATTTTTTAGGTTCCACATATAAGTGTTGGACTTTCCTGGTAGCTATGCAGGTAAAAAATCTGCCTGCAATGCAGGAAACACAGGAGATATGAGTTTGATCCCTGGGTTGAGAAGATCCCTTGGAGAAGGAAATGGCAAACTACTCCAATATTCTTGCCTGGGAAATCCCATGGACAGAGAAGACTGGTGGGCTACAGTCCATACAGTCACAAAAGGGTCAGACACTTAGGGACTAAACAACAACAACACCTGAAACTACTCTAATGCAAGTCAACTACACTTCAAAAAAAAATAATCAAACAGGGGGAAAAAACACAATTTCCAGTTCTGCCTAGAGTAAGAATCTAAATTTTAGACTCAGGCCTTTAAAGACTCAAATGGCAAAGATTTTTGTCAATTGAGTTATTCCTGTAGCTGAATAGTGGACCAGCTCTAAAAGCAACAGGCATGCCCAACACTGAGTGTAGTCAGGAAAACCAGAGAGCCACAGCTCTTCTCGAGGAACAGAAAGGTATGGCCATGCCTTCCTTCTCCTTCTTTGTTCTTCTGCAGCCTCTTTTTGGTACAGACTCAGGTTAGAGTCAGACACGACTGCAGCAACTGAGCATGCTCACATGCACATGAGACAGTACTGGGGAGTACTGTCTTGCCTTGAACATTTTGGTTTCCCTCCACTCTACTTAATTTGCTTCCTCCTCTAATAGTTCCTTCCTTCTTCATTTTCTGCCTCCTCAGCATTTTTCTTTCCTTGATTTTCTTTCTGCTCCTCTGTGGTTTGTATTCAATTCTGCTTATTTTTCCTTAGCCGCTTAATGTATATTTGAAGAATGAATTAAATGAAATAGATGCATGACAATTTAGAAACTCCTGAGATTAAAGAAGAACCCAGTCATAATTGCTGTGGCCTGTTTTCTAAAAGGAAGATAGAGCATATTTAAAGAAAAATATCTTTTTGAGAAAATAAAAATAAATATTTTTCTATGATTTAAGAATTTCCTTTCCTTATGATTAAATATAAAACTACATGTTGATTGATTTCTCATTATTCTGCACTGTAGATAAATAGTGAATGGATTTAAACATGATAGTCAAACTCAGGAAGAACTCTACAAAGTTTATGTAATTTCAGATTTGGGGCTACCACAAACTATGGTATGATAAATGATCAATTTTATAAATTTTACTATAAGTACATTTAACATTTTTATTATTCAATGAAGAAGAATGTTCTATAATAAAATTTTCACAGTAATCATGAGCATAAAATAGAGGTATATTTAAAAGAGGCGTAAGTTTTCATTCTTCCAACTCATGTGTAAATCATCATTTTCTTTAAATCAATTTGTTCATTTCTGAATCCCACTGCCAGAGTGTCAGGAATTTATGCTCTGGCATTTGGGGAAACTCTCCATTTTTAGAATTGGACCAAGGACTTTGAATCCAGAAGCAGGACAATGTATGTCCTAAAGTAGTTAGGGCATGTGTCCTAAGCAAACTATTCCAGTAACAGGAGCTTGACTGGGCGCCTTCTCCCTTGACTCCTGGACAAGTTTACTTCCAGTTTCCCTGTTGATATCCATGTAACACATTGCTGTTCTTTAAGTCAATAAGAGCTGACTACTGTTGCTTATAAAAAAGAAACCCTAAAAAAAAAAAAAGGAACCCTAACAAACCTGCATTTACTTCTCTATCAACACTCTCACATCTTGGATGATTTGATTCATTCTCATACTTTATTTTTCTTTTTTAAAAGTGTATAGTACAATTAGTGTTTTTAATTGCAAAATGGTTAATTTACAAGGTTATATTAGTATCAAGTGTACAGAATCTTATACAAATATATATAATATATTCTTTTTCAGAATTTTGTCCATTATAGGTTATTATAAGATACTGAGCATAGTTCCCTATGCTATACAGATCTTTGTTGTTTATCTATTTTTGTACACAGTAGTTTGTATCTGTTAATCCCAAACTTCTCATTTATCCCTCCCTCCCCCACCTTTCCCCTTTGGCAACAATAAGATTGTTTTCTATGTCTGTGAGTCTGCTTGTGTTTCTGCACAAGATGATCCCCTCCTTCAGAGCCTTCTGGAAGTCGGGCCGATGGACAGGCTGATGAGTCCCTCGATCCAGCTTCTGAGCTCCACCTCCTCCTGAGGGTCGTGTTCCTACAGGAGCCAGCTCTTGACCTCTGCCAGAGAGCCGTAGATGGGCCCCTTGCTGAACTGCACGGAGCTCAGGGCTGGTGGGGGGCCACTGCAAGACAGTGTGGACAGCGCCCCACTGCCAGGCTCGCAGAAATGCTGGCTAAAGGAATGGACTGGGGGCTTCGCCCCCACTGCTGATTCAGTGGAACCACTTTGAAGGAGAGGGAGGAGGGGAAAGAAGGAACCTAAGTAACCGTGAACTTCCAGATGTTCAAGCTGCTTTTAGAAAAGGCAGAGGAACCAGAGATCA